ACTCTCAGTCCCACATTGCATGGGTGCTTTCCCCCCTGCCTTGAAGGGACTTGCTGGCACGAGCCTCCCTCCAGGCTCACGTTCTCTCCCTCGACCATGCATATGCACCACGCTCCCATGCCCTGAGCATGCCTGCTCTCCCCTCCTTGCTTGGAGTCTCAGAAACAGCCCTCTCCTTGGCTGAGAGGCCAGCTGAGAGGCTGACCAATCAGAGTAGGAGGAGGGCTTTTGGTGGGAAGATTTGCCGTCTGTTTCCAAAAAGGAAGAGAAGGGCAGGCAGAGAGATCTTCAGTCTTCTCTGCCAAAGGGGTTCCTAAGACCAACAGAATTATGTGTTTTCTGATGGTCTTTGGCAACCCCTCTGAAACTCCCCTCATGACCCCCCCAGGGATTCCGACCCCCAAGTTGAGAAATGTTGGCATAGAGTATGCAGTAAGTAAAGAATCCTTTTGATAGAACTTACATTCTTTTAGTCCAAATGGTGCCCAGTGAATTTTTCAGAGCATTTGCAAAGAATTGTCTTTCAAAAGCAAGAAGGTGATGATTGCAACACCTTTGAACCCTTCTATAAATATCAGTGTTCACTTCTTAGTGTCGTTGGATATGGTGGCAACGTAAATGACCACTGGTGCAGTTAATGTTTTTGCCTGTTCGATCAGTCAGTATCGGCAATCTCAGGTCAGAGGGTATGCAAATCTGTCTCAGTTAGAAGTATGGCTACATTGCACTAATTAATACACTGGCAGCTGTTAGGGGTTTAATTGCCAACTCTAGTTAGATGTCACACTCCAGTCAGTTCAAATGGCTTGCAATTCCTACCAGTGCGAGATGGGGGAAGTTAAGAGGATTGCATTGCAGCAGCTAATTGGATCATCCTGACCTCAAAACTTCAGCTGTTTTGTAGATTTTGCTGTGCCGCTAATATTGACAGTGTTTTATTTCCAATAAATTTGTTTGAGCTGGCAGAGCTCCTGAGTCATCACTTCACTTTGTTCGATGCCAAAGCGCCGAGCGCTCTGTCAGAAGCTGACCCTTTGAGTTTTATTTGATAATTTCAGTCTCCTCCAGAGCGGCAGGAATCAATACTTGTTGCTGTCGGGTTCTCTGATCATAGCTTGTAACAAATAAGTAAAGAAACCAAATTTGTATGCAACCAGTTTCTGCTTAAATAGTGCATCTTACATTGATCCAATTTTAAATAAGTTGGGGTCAGTTTAAGGTATGGTATTTAAGTTGAACCCTGTGACTTATGGAGAGAGTAAATATGGTTGTGAATCCTTAACCAAGAGAAGTTCCTTAGGATTGTTCTCCTTGCTTTTAAAATTCTGACGCAATTCAGTTTTGAACCATTTTGAAGACAGTTTTCTGTCCCCAAATCTCATGCTTGTGTCTTTGGAAGTTATTCTAGTTTAACACTATGCTGTTAATTTGGCCTGAGGAGTAAGTGTTTAATCTATTAATGTACTGATAGTTGTTATTGACAGTTTTATGAGATAAGTCTAGAATACTGTTACTGGAAGTCTGAGAAGAATTTAGTTTTATTGCTGCTGGAATTACTCAGCTTTAATATGATAGTATTATGAAAAACACATTCCGGTTTCTATATAAGACTGGATTGTCTTCATGGAGTTGCAAGTACTTTCACTATGTTCTCAGCAATGGAGGAGTCACCCAGGTTTGATGCTATTGCTTCAGGGACCTGTGCAAGGTGGGTCTCCATTTCCATGGGAAGGATCAACTTGAATAATCCTGTTTATGTAATTTCCACCTGTAGATGCTGGAATTACACTGCACATTAGTGGCTCCTTAATACTGGACTATGTGTGAAGGCCATCACTCATTGCTTAGACTTGATGGGCCATATGTTTGTCCTCATATAGGCCTTTATTAGGTTAGTCACCTCCTGCCCCCAAATACTTTCAGATTCTCCGCCAAAAGAGGTTGTGTCCTCAGCTTCCTTTCCTGAGGAAAGGGGAGAATGTATCAAAGGTTAGACTGTAAGAGCCCTGGAAGATAGAAGAGAGCTGGTGTGAAATTGACTTTTCATGTAGGTACTCCCTCCTCTTTTAAATGAAGCACTTTCCAGTCCAAGTTGTGATATGAAAGATTATGGTTTCTAGAGCATTTTGCCATCCAGTTTGCCTTCCCTTCCCACTCTGGATGTGTTGCACATGGGACAGAATAGTTAATTTATTCAGTAGACTTGATAGCATTTTGGCTTCAAGAAAACAACCTGTGTTGCAGCTAGAGTTGCCAGTCAGCTAAGGAAACATTTGTTGAATAATCACCTATGTTGTTGCATATTTATGTTTCTGTGAATCTGAACACATACATGACCATTTATTTCTGCTGAGAAAAACAGCAAGCTTTCTTTGATATAGCACTGTGATCAGTACAGCCTTCTGTAACTGAAGGTGGCACCTGAAATTATAGTGTGTGTAGTGGTGCTTCATTACATTCTTGGGGTCTTGAAAGCTTTTTCTTTTCTAAAAACAGATGCCACCAGTGCTGGCAAAAGGAGAATGAGAGGGGGCCAGTCTGGTTTCATGTGCCCTTGCTATATTATTACAGCTCCGCTAAAATTGCCATTTTGGGGCCCGAAGTGCCAAGCTTCCAAAGGACTAGATAAGACACAAACGGGCTGAAGGCAAAATCAGAGGCTTTATTCTGAGTGGCTGGACAAGATGTCAGTGGAGGTAGCCCTCCAAAGCACTGACATATCTCAATACAAACATGCAGAAATATTTATAGCCCTTTGAAAGCAGTTTTAAACAAAGGACTTTGTGCTTCTCTGAGTGCTGATTGGTCCAAGTTGTGGCAGGCTAGGATCTGCAGACTGGTAGGCTGGAATGCTTTGTCTGTTGTTGATTGGTCTCCAAGGTTGGATGGAAATTTAATAAATTCACGAAAGAGATAACAGTGTAGCAAGCTATATTTCCCAATGGAACCACGTCTCATAATTCATAATTCTGGGGTCTAATTGTTGATAAATCTTGGCAGATATGTTGATAAAGCGAGCTTGATTCACAAAAACAGACACATTCTCGTTAGCATCCTAGCTTATTCCAAAGTTGCAAACTATAGTCTTTTGGTTTGGATGAAGTGGAAAACTTGGTTAATTAAAGGCTTCCTGGTTTTATTATTTGTACTGCAAAGAATTGTTTACAGGTTTATTTATATATTTTTTTTATCATGCAACAGATCTGACTTCTAAATGTTGTGATCGTTGGATTGTGCTTACTTGTATCCTGCACTTTATTTTCATTCTAAATATTGCAAGGGAGCCACCTGGAGGAAAGCAAAGAGAACTATTACTGTGGGCAAATGAATGGTTTATCAAAAGGATTCTAGCTGAAAGCAAGAGCGGCCTTGTTTGAAGGAAGAAATATTTACCCACTTAGACAATGGATGGGCTCAGAGCAGTTTGTTTTGCATGCAGGTTTCTCTCGGATGTAAACCAATTGATGTGTTTCCTTGTCAGTCTTTTGTGCCTGTTTAAGAACTGCTAGAGGTACTTCTGCATATTTTTGAATGTGACTGCATCTGGATCCCCACGATACTCGTATATATGTAGTCCTGAAACTCTAAAGCTATATAGACCTATTATTTATTTATTTATTTCTATCCTGCTTTTCTCCTGGATTGGGGCTCAAAGTGGCGAACAACATGTAAACAAAAGCATTGCAAACCATAAAACATAATAATCAAACCACAACGCATTGAATAAAAAATTATAAAACCCACAACACATGTAAGCAAAGACACAGTTTAAATATTCAAAAAGTTAAAACCTCATCTAATATCCATTCCTTTAGGCCATGGTCAAAATCCATTGCTGGAGGTCAACTATATAATTCACACATTGCACACATAGATCTGGCATTCGCCATGGTACTTTTTTCCTTCAGAGAAGGCCTGCTTACATAGGAAGGTTTTGACTTGGTTCCTAAATGAAAGCAAGGAGGGAGTCATTCTAACCTCTTTGGGGAGTTCAAGATCTGTCGGGCAACCACTGAAAAGGCCCTCTCTCTTGTTCCCGCCAATCGTACTTGAGACAATGTCGCTACCAAGAGTAGGGCCTCTCCTGAAGACCTCAGGGTTCATGTGGGTTCATAGAAGGAGGTGAGGTCAGCTAAGTAGGCTGGCTGCAAACCATTAAGTCTATTTGGGATAGACTTAAAAATATTATGATCACCAAAAGTAATAGCTGGGGCTAATTGAAATGCAAGTCTAGTGTGTGTGTGTGTGTGTGTATGGGGGGGGGGGAGGGTGGTTCCAGTTTGGAGAAGACAGGTCCAATAAATTGACCTTCTCTTGTCTCTTGAACCATCGGTTTCCCATGGTTTTCATCACCAATTCCATCTCAGTGTAAGGGAACAGCATATCAGGGAACTGCCTTTGGGATACTTGCATCACAACAATCTTGGCACTCTGATCAAATAGAGTCTTGATGCATTTTATCAGCAACATCTCCAAGGTATAAAATGCTAAAGAGGTTCTGCGCTAAAGATTCCTTCTTTCAAAAGTGTTTGGTGGAAAGTTGGTATTATAGATGCTTTCAATTTATGGAGCCAACTGTTCGTTCCCTGTTCTGTAACTTGCCTAACTTTTTCTGTGAAAGTGCAGATTCTTTGGTTGCAGTGAGAAAGTGAACACATTTTCATGTTCTGTATTGTAATTTATGTTAAGCTTTCCAATAGACTCAATGTGTTACATAAAGTGTTCTCTGTATGATGCTCTGATTCGTATACAGGCTCCTTCAGCTACCTTCTTCTTTGGGTCTTTTTTGTCATAAGCCTGCTGCTCTTGAGAGAGATCTTGATATATACATTTTTTTTACTACTCTCATTTAAGTTGAAAGTGCATGTACGGCTGCAATCAAGCATTATGTATTACAAATTCTGTTTTAGTGAGCCCCTTAAGCTATCAAATACTTCATTCTCTGAAGGACTGTAGTCGTGATTAAATACCATGTTATCTTTTTTTCTCCTCCTATCCAGTGAGCATTTGTCCTGTGCCTTCACATTCTTCCTTCATGCAGAAAGTAATGTGTGTACAAGTGTGGAGATTGCCCAGCACTTGCCAATCTATCTAATCAATGAGGAACATCTTCGCATGGCTCAATCCTCCCCGGTGCCATTCCAAGGTAGGCTTGTGTGTATTTCCATGTATTTTGTGAGCAGTGGGCAAAGTGTGGGACCAGTAGGCCATTTTTGCATCCCACAGGAATTACTGTTCCCATTCCTTCTCTTCCCCCAAAAAATGGTCCATTGCTCTTCTCTGATACCTATGGCAGTTAGACATTTTGCTCTATCCCTCTTCTCCAGTGTTAGAAACACTTCTGGTTTTTTAAAAAAGGCCTTTATGGGCCTAAAGAAAGGATGAATATGGAGTGAAATGACACTATTAGGCATTTTGGTGTTGATTTTTTTAAAGTGGGGGTAAATGTTAAAATAGGGTTGTGGTAGTTGAGGATCCCCAACTCCTGGAAGACGTTGATCCCTGATCTCTGTGTTGTGCTTGTTGTCTGAAGCAAAACCTTTATCAAAATGTCTAAGGTACTTTTTCTTGCTAGTAGCATTGCCCAATCATGCCAGTCATTTAAATCAATTCATTAAACCTCTGAATAGCTTTTTCCTCCTGTTTTCCTTTGGAACAAACTCCATGTGAAACAAAGTGTCCTCTCAGACTGCCTGCTATAGGCAGAGTTGTTTTTTAATTCCTGCTCTTTCCCAGAAGTGTGTACTGAAATTATCTATATCTTATTTCACTGCTTTTCAGCTACTTAGTTCACTACTTAGTTGAAGTAAGTTACTTTGAGGACTAGTTTCTATTTTATGCCATTTTCCAATTAAGAAAGAACACATTTTAGTAATAAATACTTGATAATGGGTAGGTTGGCTTTTTTTTGTTTTTGCTTTGAACCTGAGAGCCGTAGTTATCTATGATAATAGTCAACTTAAAGTGTGTGTGGAAGAGGGAGAGACAGAATAGCTAATTCATGGTATTGTTCCATTTTAAGAATGATTTAATGCGTGGTTAGGAGAATAACAGTCCAATTTGGATATGGGCAAAACTGAGGGATATGCTACAGTCTTAGGGACTTCCTTGTTCTCCACTTTCTTCCCACATCCTCTGATTGGATCCCTCACTCTTTAATCTGTGATATACCGTATTTCACCAAATCTAAGGCACCATCAAATCTAATGTGCACCCTGTTTTTGAAGCTTCAATTTTAGGAAAAAAAGATTTTTCTTAGAATATTTTTAGACTTTCCTCTGCAGACACAATAACTCTTTTTGTTTCAAATTAGTTTTGTGGTGCAATCTGTCCTGTGGGGTGAGGAGGAAGTGTGAAGAAACCTGAAAGTCATCTTTTCTGCATGGGTCAGTTTTATTAAGTCTATGGGCTCATTGTGGAGAGGCAGGGGAAGCAGGAAGCGGTGCTTAGTTAAAATATCAGTAAATAGCTGTCTGACTGAGGACAAAATGGTAGTGGCTGGTAGAGCCGCTGGGACTGGGGCTCTTCCTCCTCCTCTCTCTCAGAGGTAAGAAAGTTTTAAAAAAACAGCACATCCTATTTTGAAGCCCCTTAAACAGGAAAAAGCATACCTCAGATTCTATGAAATACAGTATTATAGTTTTCCTCTGTGGTTTGTGATCACAATAGTTTGTTTGATCAGAGCCATAATCAGAAAAGCACTGTTTAAAAGCATTTTCCAGTCCTTGTGTGCAGTTAGTATATCTGGCTTGGTTGTTATAAAATAGCAACCTCGAATTATCACGAATTAGAAAGTGAGGGAAAGAATGAAGGCGGGTTGGAGAGAGGAAGTGCTCAAGGCCATGCACAATTCCGAAAAACAGCTAACACTTAGGCTGAGTTTGTTGCTGAATGAAATTAGGTCTTGTATGGCAACGGTAAGAACCGTGCGGCCCTTTTGAACCAAGCATGCCTTGTTGTCAGTGCCTATTATTAGTCCCCGTTACGTCTTGCCACAGCAACCCATGACTTGGTAACAAGGACGCTGTTTTTGTGGGTTGTTTTTCCTCCTGTGTTCTTGCAAAAGAGGTGCTTCACTGATGTCATTTTATCTCAGTTGCATCAGTCATCTTAGGAAATTGCGATCATATTATGTCACTAAATGCCTGTAATTATTTCTTATTAAAAAGCAACTTGTTGAGTGCAATAGATTGAATGTTAAAATAGTTTCCGGTTTTGGAGATTCTAATTCTAATTTCATAATCTCTTACTTTTGGTATTTCAACCTGTGATAGTACAGATACTCAGTGGCTGTTTTTTTCTTAATCCTTCACTCCATTGCCTTTTTCTTAATCCTTCACTCCTTTTTTCTTTCCTCCTCCATTTTAATAGATGCCTTGAATTCATTTTTCTTTTAGACTCTTTCAGATGGATCCAGCTACAATGTGTTTGTTTTCTTGCCTTGCCTTGAAATAGCTGGTCTAATTGAACATGTGTGATCTTAGATTTTGATAAAGCTAGATTGATTTAAATCAAGGCAATGTAATTCTCTACCCCCTTGAGTTTAAATTAAGTTTCTTATTTGGTGATTGATGCCTTTCCTAAAGAGATACGCACACTAATTGGCCGCTGGAGCAATTAACAAATATTGGTTCGCAACTAAGAAACATCTTTTATAACACACAGCAGTTCGATCCCTAACTTTTGACCCTGTGCTTCCTGCAGTTTTGTAAGAAAGACTCGTTTTTTCAGAGAGACAAGGGAGCCAATTGTGAAAGAATGGATTTTTGTTTACCTGTCTCAGAACACTTAGAAAACACTTTATTCAAGATTATTTGCTTGAAGAAGATGGCCCATGGCCCATAAATATGTTTAAGCATTCTTACCTTTTGGCTAGAAGCATGATGCTGGAAATGATTGGTGTCGCATTTTTTTCTTGAGGAGGAACACATTGACCAGGCCCTTGCCAAGCTAAGTCAATATTTTGAATTTGCAGCAAAAATACAGACCTTTCAATAGAAGTCTGCAATGTAAATAAATAGCATGTCATATTTGTAATACTGGTACTTTCTCATTCTAAAAGACAGATGCCTTCCTTCTTTGACTCTTTTTATTTTACCTTATTTACCTGCATTTTGAGCATAGTGAGTTTGGTAGAGGATGGCAAATAAATTTTAGCATGATTTCATTACATGTGATCTCATCATATTTATTTCATTTAAAACTCAGTTGTTTTAAAAATGCTGTATACAAGTGGAATACTTAAAAAAAGAAAACAAACTTCTTGAAACTAAAAACCCCTTGTCCTGCTTTGTAATGTACAGAAGCACACTATTGAGTAGCTGCTGGTTTATGGGACTCCTGTATTAGTAAAAAAAAGTATTTACAGAGCTGGATAGGGATTGGACAGTGTTCGTCAAAATGTGTTGTGTGCTGAAGGGCATTTCAACAGGTAAGAACACAGTGGAGATACTTTGGAAAGTCTGGAGTTCTGCAATGTGTGGAAGAGTGGCCCAGTGTTGAAGAAGGAAATGTGTAGAACTGGACAGGGCAAGGAACGGGGGGAAAAATCCATCCCCTTAACATGCTGTTAATTAATTTGCATGTCATTTGTGTGAAAAGCTAGCTGCCAAGTTAGAGGGCGTGTTGTCCTACTTACTCTGTAATCTTCTTACTCCAGAGTTATCCTCCAATTTGACATTCTCAAGCCTTGAAGCCTGAAAAGCATCAGATGGGCTTAAATAATGACCGGGGTGGGAGACCTAATTAATTTGATCTACTTCTTATTTGCTATCACGTGTTCAAATCTGTCTGCTATGCCACAGCTGAGTGGACAGCATGTTTACTCATGAAATCTTTTGGCAGATTTGCAAGGTTTAGGATGGGGCAGGCAATTGTGGCCCTCTAAACAGTGTTGAGTTGCTGCTCCACACATTCTTCCTTATTGCTTATGGTCAACACTTGGAGGATCACAGTTGCTTAGGAGCAAACACAATATGAGAGAAGAGATTCTGACTAATTGTTGTGAAGAACTTCCTGATAATAAGAACTATTTGACAGTGGAATGAACAACATTGGATCCATTTACCTTTGTTCATTTTTCCTGACTATTAGTTCACTTCTAGGCATCACTTCAGGCTATTATCTCTAGATCCCTAAATGACTTGGGCCTAAACTGTATAAAAGAGCATATGATGTGAGCCTGCTTGGGTGTTAAGATCCTTGGAGAATTTCTTTTTTTCCACCATTGTCACAGGTCCATCTGGGGAGGGCATGTATGAGGACCTTTTTCTAGCTCTGTTTAGTTTTCCATCTTTGGTGTTAACTGCCTTGTGCTCCATGTTGAAAGAAAGGCAGTATAGAAAATGGATTTGATCAAGGGGAGGTTTTTAAACAGGGATTGGGTAGCCTTCGGTGTGATGTGAGCTCCTATTGAGGCTCCAAACTGAATGGTCTGCGATTTGAAATATTTGTTCTTTTTTTGTTTTCTCAGTGCTGATAAGCCCATATGGTTTGAGCGGTACTTTAACAGGCCAAGCATACAAAATGTCTGATCCAGCAACCCAGAAACTAATTGAGGAGTGGCAATATTTTTACCCTGTGGTGTTGGGGAAGAAGAAAGAAGGCTTCAAAGAAGAACTGCGATACGATGATGACTTTCCAGTGGCAGTGGAAGTCATTGTTGGTGAGGTTCAGCATTTCACTTGAAGGAAACCTTGTGTTTTCATGTCTCTAGTTCTACAACACATAGTCACCATCACCAATAAGCACTTTTTACTATGACTCTGTTAACAACTTAGGAAGTATTACCTTACTTTAAGAAGATGCTCTCTTTGTCTCACAGTTGATGACAATTTTATGATTCCCGATAGTGGCTGAGATCCTGTATCCCAGAGATGCACAGCTTTGGACTTATGCCTTACTTTTGCTATGTAGCTTGTCACAAAATTACTACCAAATGTGTATTGATATCAAACCATGGGTTTGATATACAAGGTGCAATGATACACAATGGAACTGCAGGCACACTTCCATTTTCATGCCCTTCAACTGAATTTGCCAAAAATGCCACCTGATTGCTTAAAGCAACCTATGCTTGCGCAAGACACCAGTAGGATTTTGGCCAACTATTTCAAATATATAAACAGTTCCATTTGTTATGTAGTTATGGTTACAGTTTTAACACTAATGCAAAATAAAATGTTGCTCTTGCTAATGAATGGGAAATGTTAAAAGAAACACAGTCATATTCTGCCTCTTGTTCCTTCTTCACTCCCCTCTTAACAGGTGGTGTCCGGATGGTGTATCCCTCAGCTTTTGTTCTCATTGCTCAAAATGACATCCCTATTTCTCCAAGCACTTTGGCACCTGGAGCCCACAACAACGTGGCACAGCAGGGAGCTGGGAACATGAAAGATGCCCACAGCTGTGGAATGTTTCTTACACCACCCATTTCTCCAGAGCAGATTGTCATAGGTGAGCAAAGCACCACAGTGGGGAAATCCCATCCTTTGCAATCTTCTCCCCAACACCTTTAAAGTTTATTTATTTACTGCATTTATATCCTGTCCTTCTCATCCTGAAGGAGACTCAGGGTGGTTCACAAAAGTTTGCTCCAAAGGACTATCTTTGGAAGCTTCTGGCACTGAAGATAGAAGCAGTGCCAGAAACAGGGGGGAAATAATCCCAATGCTGCCTGATACAAAATTCCAACACTTGTTGGATTTACGCCTTGGTTTCTAGTCTTCAGCTACAGCTACTTGGGAAAGATTTTTAATGGTTACTAGATCAAGAGTGAGTTTAATAGCCACAAAAAGAGGTATAGTTTACAGCAGAAGTGCCCATTAGAAAAAAATTAAATAGAAGACCTAAGTTACACCATTGAATGTGATGATGTCTATTTATTAGGAATATATCCCTAAGCAATATTAATCGAAGATGCCCTCAGTATGCAGTCTTTGGGATCAGCTATGTGCACATCAACTACATATGCATTGATTGTGTCAAATTCATACACTGTTTTAAAGTGAAAAGCAGTGGGTGGCATTCCCGGATTACTGTTTCCCTTCTTTTCTGAGATTTGTATTGGCATCTTTCTCCTTTCCTCCATCTGTGTTTCTTCTGGTAGAACTGATTTTAGCTGATAGGCTAAACTAGATGTGGAATGTAAAATGTTAACTAGATTCAAGATTTGGTGGAGGGGGACACAGGATTGGGACCATCCTGGGAGGAAGGTTTAAACTTTTGCCTCTCTGGTCTAAGTGAAAATCATAACCTCCTTTTCAGCTTCTACTTGCTCTGTCTGGTATTTTCATTGGGGCTGTGACATCAGAGAAAGGATTCCCCATATCCATGTGGTGTATTCCCAATCAGTGATATCCTGTCATGTAGTGGTAAGAGTAATTGCTTTCCATGCAAAAGGTCCCATGTTCTGCTTTTGGTATTTCCAGACAGGACTGGGAAAGATCCCTCTCTGAAATCCTGGAGAACCACTGCCAATCTGTACAGACATCTCTGAGCTCAAAGGACCCAGTATTGATATGAGGCAGCTACATGTGTTGCTGATTCGGTCACACACTCATACTCTGTAAATCAGATGTGAGAAATGTATAACCTGACTTTTTATGCCAGCTTTTTTTCTTGCCTGAGAGTGGTCATTTCCCCTACTTCACCTGAAGACTCAAGAAGTATAATTGGCCACTTAAAGTATTTCCTGAGTCTCCCAAGTTGGCCCTTCCAAGCTGCTTTGGCTCTGTGGACCTTCCTGGCAGCCAAGTATTTGAGGGATAAGTGGCTCGAAGCTGGCAGCCTCTTTTTCCCATTGAAGTCCACATTTTTCTTCCTCTTCCCTTTGTCTTGTTGCTGCCACCTTTGTCTCTGTTTCTGGTGTAACTGTACTGAATTCTGGTGAACTGATAGAGGCTTGCAGTGATTGTGCTATATTCTTAACATCATGTACATAACATCACAACTAGATTTGCCCTCTGAGCACCTCTGGAAAGAAAATAGCTTGGGTATAGAAGACTGCAGGTAAACATCAGTAAGTGGGGAAAGAGTTTGTTTCTCCCTCCTCCCTACTGACACAAAAGTATACTGTTGCCTGTACAGTTACCACTCGCTGAAATTAATGTAGGTAAAATGTCTGCATCTTAGAGCATAATGTATAGCGAAGTTGTGAAGAGCTCTATAATCTCTGAGATTAGTGAAACCCTATTTCTTGACTTGTTTACTGATGTATTTTCTTAAACTCCGTGGAACTACTTAGCTCAATTTAGTTAAGACTGTCTTCTTGTGTGAGGATACACCAGGTTTTAGTATATGTATGAAGCCATTAGAAGCAATGGCAAAAACTCTGATCTAGAGTTTAAAGCAGTGGCAGTTCTCAGTGATACCCCCCTCCTTTTTTAAAGTTTTGGCTCTTTTCAGTGTTTTACTCTTGGGAGTTTTTGGCTATGCCAGACAAAAGAACAAGGAGTTCTGTAAACATGTTTGACCTTGTTGAGGATTCATACCATTACCTCCCTTTCCAGCATTTCTGGCATACAGCTAGAAGGCAAAGCAATCTCAAAGCTCCCTCTACTGTCCCAGTAGACATTTAGATCTGTAGCTTTACTTTGCTTGACAGTACATTACCAGAAACATGAATGACAGACTGTGGCTAGTGCCACTGACAACAAATTTGTTTGTTTTTCTTTACTAAACTCGTGTGCAGAAATAAAAATATTGTGTACCTTTATAGAACTGAGTGTCCTTAATAGCTAAAACATGGAAGGGGAAAAAAGAGTTAACTATTAAAGATTGGAGAGATAAACTAGTAGATTATATCCAAATGGCTAAGCTGACAAATTGTAGCAGAGGAGGAAATAATGAAGAATTTGCAAACAAATGGAGGCTGGTACTTGGGTATCTGGAAAAGAAGACAAAGTTAGATTTGATGGCTGCCACAAAGGGGATTTAGTGAAAGAAGACATATGGATAGTTGCTGGTTAGCTGTGTGATCTTTTTTCCAGCGGCATCGGAGGTCATGGGGTTTGGGTTCATGGGTGTGGGGATAGAGGGATAAGAAATGTTAAGATATAATTAACTGTACAGTCAATTGTGATTTTTCATAAGTATAAAGAGCACTGACTGTATATCATTTTGTAAACTTGCTTACTCTTTTGCATTTTTTTTACAAATTTCATTTCTTTTCTTTTTTTTTTGATCATCTGTTTTATTTCTTATATATACTATAAAACAAAAATTATGGAAAAAAAGATCAGTGTCCTGTGTAAATCAGGTGGTATCAGTGCCAGTTTCAGGTTGTAACACCAGCAGATTTTAATGCAATATTCTCCTTGCAGGATTTGGTTCTTGTGGCTACCAAACTTGTAAAATTATGTAGTCTTCGATACAGTTTACTGAATTTAAATGGAAAACTCCATGAGGGTGTTTTTGTTGGAGGGACAGTACATAGCAAGTCTCCAAAGGATATCCATTTGGGCAAATAACTCTTATGGTTGCTATTTCCTATAGTGTTGTCAATTATCTTTCAGGTGAAAGTGGAAGCATTCCCAGCATGGTCAGTCATACTGCAGCAGCCCCAGATGGGATGGGCACTGTGCAGAGTTCAAAGATATCAGAGAAAATTCCTTCAATATTCCATAAGCGCATTGTTCAGAGGACTTGGAAGGAATGGATCCTCAACAAGTCACAATCCAGGTAAGAGCGTAGTTCTGCCTGAGTGCCCTGGTAGGAACTTCAACACTCATCCCCTTCTCACAGTTAATCACTTACTGCATATGCCATGCTCTCCTCACTTATATTTTAATAGATTTAATAATGAAATGTAGAGATATTGACTCTCTTGATATTGGGAAGGTATGCATTTGGGACAGTTGTATTTGAAACAATTGCTTGAGTTGATGGAGTTGATTTGAAACAATTGCTTGAGTTGATGGAGGGATTAAACAAAGAGTATGTGAAGAGAACCTACTTAGGATTTTGTCAGACAGGTTCAGTTATTAGATAGGCTCCTTTTCCTCATGACTGAGTAACTTTTCTCTTATGTACTTTACAAATTTGTATAAGGAGTGCATACATCACCAAAGCTTTAAAAAATGATCCTTTGAAGAAATTTGTGCAGTGCTTTCTGAGCTCTCCTTAACTTGGGTGAAAAGCAACAAAATAATTTCATTTTTTCTTCATCTCGTTACCTGTTCCATAAAGGATTTCTTCTTCCACTGGGCAGTCAAATATCAACACAAATGTAGAGACATCTGAAAGTTCAGCACAGTGCTGTTTTGTGGCCTCTGACATGTAGATCCCCAAGGAACTGATTGCTGCATGGTGCCTTAAACATGCTTCAAATGCCCTGAAGGGATGGTGCTACAGAAATAAGTTCATCAGTATTTTCCTAAATCAGAACTAAAGAGAGTATTATGGGAGCAATCAGTATAGGAGCATTTCTAAAGCTAGGGGCAATATGGTCCTAGTAATTGGCTGTGTGCCCAGTGTTGCACTCACCAGTCTTGGGTTTTCTAAAGAAGAGTAGAACATAAGATAATAAACTGATGCCTAAGTTCTGTTTCCTAGGACACTAACACTTTTGCATATTTTTCTTCCCATCAGAAGAGCTCTGATTACGAAGGGAGGAACCTTCACCAACTGTGCTGCTTGGGATTTTATTGATCCTGTCAAAAGGGTTTATTGCACTTGCTCTAGGTCAGTAGAATAATTTCAGTAACGCTTACATTTCTTTGAATTAGTGATGCAAGGAATATTTGTAAATGGTTGAAAATGTGTTTTTCCAATATCAAGAAACTGATAAAACAAATTCTGAACTGACAAGAATCTTAGCTGTTTGTGATCTATTCTGCATAAAATTCACGCATTCACACATCAGAAAACAACATTTTCCATGCAGGACACAGTGTTTTGTGTGCAGAAAATGATACGAGTAGAGCCGGTTTGATTGGGGGTGAAGGAGTTATTAGCCAGATCACTCATTGGATACACTTCTTCACCTCTGGATTTGACTGACTTACAGGTATTGGTTATAATATTAGAATAGGGCTTCCATTTGTAAAATTCAACACAGTTAAGCCCAACCTGCATGATTATTACATCTGAGGTTAACTTGATTTTGGCATCGTGTTGTGTGTACATCAGGCAAATCAGATGTGTGCCAAATGTGCCTGTTGAGTAGCGCAGGTGGACTGGAGCTTGCCTATCCGACTGTGACCAGGTAGAGTTGTGGATGAAGTGCCCCATTGAGAAGGGGCCCTCCATGAGACTTGTAGATATAGTAAATGGTATGGCAGGTATCAGCACCTCTCTGTTTCCCTTATTTTTGTTGACCACATACTCAGCTTGGTGAAACAAATGGGGAAATGCAGGAGTCAGATTTGGTTTTAGATGTTGGGCTAGATCCCCACTCTCCAACTCTGCATGGCAAATGCCATAGAGCTTGGCCACACTCCTGAGCTCATGGGTGTGACCACATCTTCTGACATCACTGCAGGTCATGAGAATAGCTTGTTAAAGGTACAAGGTCATTTATAAATTAGATAAAGAGAAATGAACATATATTAGCAGATGATCTGGCCTACTAGTATTTCTGCGAATGTAATGCACCATCTAATCTAATGCACTCCTCAATTTTCAGAATGTTCAATCAAAAAAAGTATTTGTTGGCGAGTGTAATGTGCAGTGGGAAAACTACACTCTTCACAATTCACTGTTTGAGGATGTGTTCTCTATAAGAGATTTTTAGGTCTGTGTTCAATACTTTCATTGAGTGGATCATGAATAATGAATTAGTTCACTTTGAACACCATTCCACTAATTGTTCTGAATTGTGTGGCCTTGTCATAAGGCAAAGTAGCATAGTGATAGAGCATCTTCCTGTCATTCTGTAGAAGGGGAGATCAAGTCTTGCTGGTCTGCTTTGTTTCTTGGTTTTTATCCTTTCTTTTAGTTGCAGAAGTACATTTTTCTCTTTACTTGTTTGTTTACTTGCTCTCCTGTGTCATTCATGCAGGGAGAGTACTTTAGAGAGGGCTTTACTAGTGAGGATGCACTACAATGTGATCAGTGAGGTTTTTCAAGTTTGTAACTGAATCTAATGCGCACCCTAATTTTTGTGACACAATTTGGGCAAAAATTGTGTGTGTTATATTTGACTAAATACAATATTTGTACCTTTTCCATGATAAATTCTTTGTATTCTCTCTTTCAGGCATAGGCTCTTTAGGCAACGCTATTTGGGTTTTAGCCGCCTACCGTCTTTATCACAATCCAGTTCTTCTACTTCACTGCCACTTGCATCTAAGCACAAACTCACAGAGAGGCAGGAGAAACTGGAAAAAATTCAGAAGAGATCGCTACTGCCATTTCACCATCGGCCAGCTGTTACTGAAGAACTTTGTACGGAGCAAGATCCACCGGCACACAAGTTGACCTTGGCGGGAATGGAGCCTTCCTTGGAAGCCCCTGGCATCCGTAAATACGAGAAGCAGTTCTCTCTACCACCTCGACACTCAAGCAAACAAACACATTTGAATCCCATGGATTCTCCCCATTCCCCTGCGTCCCCTCTGCCCCCTACCCTTAGTCCTCAGCCAAGAGGGCAGGAAGTTGAGAGTTTATACCCACCATCAATTCCTGTGACTCCTATCCTCTACCACAGTGGATTAGAACTCCAGCCACTACTCAGCACAGAGGGCAGTACGGTCCATGGAGGACAGAGGCTGCCTCTTATGGAAGAAGTCGGTGATACTGTTGTGTATTCTGGGGTTATACAGAACCAAGAGTCACTGAACATGTGGCAGGGATATACTCTTCCCTCCAATGGAAATAAAGAGTTCAGGCCTCCGGAACTCCATTGCGAGAGATATGACATCAGTGACAACACATCATTTCAAAGCACTGCACTAAAAAGGTAAGGGCTTGTTGATTGTCCCAAATGTTGCCATTTGGGTTTGTTTGAGGTGACTGTGGTTGGGTCCACCCCAATCCTGAAGCAAATGTGCTGGCAGGTCCGACTTATGTGTGAACATGACAGAACATATCACACAAGAACCATATAAAAAAGGTGACTGGATCACTTGTGGACAGTTTCTGTAAATAGGAATTTTTTTTAAAGCTCTGTGTAACGTGAGCATTTCTTGGAAGAATGGCAGGACAAGTTTAGTGGGAGTGAGAATTTTGTTTCAGGTAGTTTTTATAGAAAAATATCAAAATTTGCAATTTCTTTATATTTGACATAGAAGGAAACTGCTATGAAAACATTTGGAACGCAGGAGAGATGATTCATGTGTGTTAATGTCTCCCTCTTGAGGCTGATCGGAGTCAGTTTTCTGGTGGAAAAATTAGAACAGCTTCTGCTTTGAACTTCATAAGAATTTTGACAGGCAGTGCCTTTTTGTAGTTCATTAAAAGGCTTTTAAACATTGCTGTTTGTATGTAAAAAAGCTGTATGTACTAATGGCATTGTGTAACATTTATTCATGAGTAAAATCTGGATAGTTCATTGTTTGTTCAAGATCACAATATATGCATTTTAATCACTTTACTTCATTGCCATCAACAACCTAATCCTGCTTAGTATGTAATGGACTCTTACAGCATGGCAGTGAAGTTACATTTTTAGTCCTACACATCTTGAGGGCTCAAGGATGGGGAATGCTGCTTTGAAGTATGCAATATATTTGTATAGGCTTGTGAAACAATTGAAATAATTTGCTATTTTTATGAGGTATGAAGGTGAGATTCTCTTATATGGAATTTTGGAATGCACTCAATAAAGAGAAATACCATTTACTATCCACTATATAATAGATCAAAGCGATCCCATTACAAATTAGAGCAATTGCATGGAATGTTCAAGGAGAGCTCCATTATTGAGCCTTGTAAGCATTCAAAACATTTATCTCCTTTGAGGATGTGTTGTGACTGCCTGTATACAAACTTAGAGTGGTAGCACAGGATGTTCAGAATGTCTTGTCCCAGTGTTTTGTCTCTGAAGTTGGAGCTAGACATTTCAGAGATTCCTATCTACAGTTGCCACCACCTCCTCTTCACTTTTTCAGTCAGACATGTTTAGTAATACAAAAGAGCCACATTTCCCACTCTGAGTCACTTTTTGTTGGGGGAGTTAAGAGTACAGTCATATTACAGCACTGTAATAGATTTTGTATTACTAGATATAACTGGAGGAGGAGATGGAGGAGGAGGAGGAGATGGAGGAGGAGGAGGAGGAGGAGGAGAAACAATATTGTTTCTAGATAGTAGTTAGGCCTACCTAAAGTAAGAAGTAGATTTGGCTAAAGATATTGACAGGGCATACCTGTTAAGTCCACACAAAAGAAGGCCTTGTGTCTGCAACATATTTTAGGATCATAGTTGTCTGAAATAATAATAACATCAGCAGCAATAATACTACCGTAATTGCTGTGCAAGTACCTAAATTGAATTTGTCTTCTTTAAACTTGTACAAGAGATAACAGAGCACTTTAGTGTGCCACAAATGATAAAACCTGAGTAGTCATAGGCCAAAAGAAATAGCTGCAGAACTTGGATTAAAGATACTTTTGAGAATTCAAATGAGTTTTCCTTTAAATTATTTTCTATGAGAATGAGAAATGATTATATGAGGATGCAATAAATGTTGTATTGACAGCTCTTGAAAGTAAACCCTTTGAATCCTCTTATTTTGGTCTGGATGGGTGGCTGTTTTACTGATTTAGGAATGGTGATCAAACAACACTTGATTTCAGGAGCAAGAGGAGTGTTCCTGGAGATGAAGAATGTGTGTGGTTTAGATGCAGGAATCTTTATCATGGAAACACCAGAGACAGAGAGGTTCAAAATGGTCATGGCTTTCAGGGGAGGTCAGACTGAAGAAGGTGACTGGAAAACTCTGAAGGAGGATGTGAAAGACATCTGGATTGGAGAAGTTGTCTATCTGAGTCTTGCAACCACCGAGCAGAAGGAGGGAATGTTGTAACTCAAGATAACTAGAAGTCCACAATTAAAAACTTTCTGCCTTTTTATTGGAAAGAAAGCATCTGGGGAACATACCACTTGTTTTAGAAAACTATCATGCATTCAGGAAGCTTCCAAACTCCATCTTCAGTTTGGCAAGCAGTTGGAGGTGTAATATCCCGGTTGGAAATGGAAGAAGTGATTACTTTTTGATATTGATTCTCCCTGAGATATCTGCTAGATGACTATCTGTTTTGGGCTTACTGGGATCCCCCATGGAGTAATCAGACTTATTATTGACCTCTGCTTGATTAGCAAGACTTGCAGATTTTTTCTGTTGGGTCTATGCCCAAAGTGGCTGTTTTTTTAAAACAAAACAAAACAACAATAATAATGGTATTCAAATGGTGATATAATTGTTTCCATTACCTCTTCAGCTCCTTCAGGCAATATCTTTTTCCATGTAAGAACAAGATTTTCTTATTAATGAATGACAGCGTCTCATCAGGATCATAGATTTGAAATATACAGTGAGAATCACCTTGTCCAGCCCCTGCTGATACTGATCTGAATTACATTAATTCTTGATCAAGAGATGCGAGGGGCTACTTCTGGCATGGAGTTTGTCCAGAGGAAAAGAAAGCACAGAAACAATAGGGATTCTGCTTCTGTGTGTCACGACAATGTCTAAATGCCAAGGCTGAAATCCTATATTGAGGAGATGAAGTATAAACACTTATATATATATACAGGATGGTTATGCAATGCTGCTTTGTTAGTGAATTGTGACGTGAAGCCAAATGTATGCAGTGTACAATTCTTAGTACACAATTGCATGAGCAACTCTGTCTCTGTAGTTCTGAACTGAACGCAGATGGATAGGATTGTTATATTTTTTTTCCCTTTTTTGACCAAGGTTCCCAGGTTATTAATAAATTAGCCAAACGTTGCATAATCTGTGTTACTTGTCATTGTTTCTTGATAACTGGCAGTGGAATCTTGGGTTATGCTGTTAATTATAGTGCAATTGAAATACGTATGTTGTAGATGTAACCTTCTGGACTTTGACTCTAATAAAATTTTAGGTACAGTTCTCCTTCAGCTTGAAAAGGCTAATGGACATTAAAATCCAATCCAAACATGAGAAAGCAAGAGGATTATTGCCATTTTTCCTTCAGCATTTAATGTTGCAGAAGCTTTTATATACTGTAATGTTTCTGACCATTGAAAGGATGTACCATTAAGATGTTAGTTTTTGAGTGGCTGGCCTAGAATCTGGGTTTACAAGTCTGTCAGAAAATGCTGAGTGCTAACATGAGGATGCATATGTGGAACCACAGAAAAAGTTTATTTCCAGTATATGAAAACAAAATGTGGCTTCATTCACTTGTGGGAAGAAAATTTGTACATCTACAGGACAATGTTTACGAATGTTTCCCCTGTTTTCTTCATTTCCCCACCCAGGCTCTTAGCACAACCTAACAGAAGATTTAAAATCTTGGAAGAACCCTCCTCTGGGCCAGAAATTCATTATTTTGACCTGTACCCTCTAAACCGCCGGCGGCCTGGCAAAGGTTTGAGAGACGTCAGTGATCCTTACACATTTCAGGATGGAGACATCAAATACAGTTTCACCCGCACTAAAAAGTATAAACTTGGACCTGACAGAGAATTGCTGAAGAAAAATAAGGTATTTCTGTCAATTTAGAGCCCAGTTCCTTTTTTGTATGGAAATGTAGCCTAGGTTTATTTCCAGTCAGGGTCTTGGTGCTTTATAACACAAGAGAGCTATGGCACTTCTACACTTCATTTGTCTGAATAGCATTTTCCCCCAAGCATGATCTCCACGTGTCCTTGGTATCAGGCTTAAAGTTACTTGATCTATACAAAGTCTTTCATATATAGATATAAGAAAAAAAACATGTTATTTTTTTGTTTATGTATCAGCCAACTTATCCTCCTGTCTTACACACACACACACACACAGTGATTGATTGAATGTTCTGTGTTTACAGTCAGGTGACGGAACTGAGCCAAAGGAGATTTCTGTAGCAGATCACCCTACAACCATGTCAGATGGGAAAGATGCAATGTCTATTTTCAGGTCGGCGCCTAAAACAGGTAAATGAATGTCTACACAATCCTCATCAAGAATGATAAGTACTGAAGACTTTAATTATATATTTTAACTAACCAGTTGAGTGAGTTATAATAGCCTTGTTCAGTATCTGAATATGTTAATATACCCCCAGTGGAGCCTCAGCTTTTCAGTTGATGCTCCATTGAATTACTTTCAGGCAGGGGTCCTCAAACTTTTCAAGCAGAGGGCCAGTTCACAGTCTCTTAGACTGTTGGGGGCTGAACTGTAGTTTGAAAAAAAAATGAATGAATTCCTATGCACACTGCACGTATCTTATTTGTAGTGCAAAAAACAAACAAACAAAAACCAAAAAAAACCCCTGAAAGAACAATACAATATTGAAATGATTTTTTTTACCAGCATAAACTTACCAGTATTTCAGTGGGAAGTGTGGGACTGCTTTTGGCTGATGAGAGAGTCAAGTTAATTAGGATTGTTGTTGTGGGCCTTCAAGTCGTTTCAGACTTAGGGCAGCTCTACATCTCAAGGATCTTGGAGGGCCTTAGTTTGGGGACCCCTGCTTTCAGGAGCTACAGTACAGGGATGTTGTTTCTGATTAGTTTCTTGTTCTCATTCACGGAGAATGTGGCTTAATTATTTTTATGTTTTCCCATTTCTCAAATTCTCAATGCTTTTTCTCATCCCCTTAGACACCCGGAACGATAATGCTGCAACTCGAGCTGGTTCCAGTAGCCTCATGCAAGTCACAGACCTGGCTCCCTCACTGCATGATTTAGACAACCTCTTTGATAATTCTGATGAAGACGATACTGAAGTAAGCATGTAATGAACTGAGCTGCACCATATGTGCATAGTAGCATCATCTGACCTTTGAAATAATGTCTTTTGTCTCTAGGATAGGTGACTGAAGAGTTCTCGGGCTTCTCTTCTGCTTTCTTTGATTTGGTCCAGAGGGGCATTTGTGGTGAAAGGTGTAAAAACTGTCATGTCACATTTTTCCTCAAAGAGAGCATTTATAAGATGTGAATTATTATTCTATTGCAAACTTTTATGACACTGAACATAGTTCTATTTCTAATAATGTTGCCCATGGAACCAGAAACATTGCTTTGTACTTATTCTGATGAACAGAATAGCCATAGCCTGTTGTCATCATCATAAAAAATGTCAGTACATATTAATTAAAAAGGCACATAGCCTTTGTTAGTCGTTCAATACCCTTGAGTAAGAGAGAGCGACTCCAGATTTCACTAACCCTTTTTTGCTACCATCACACAAAATTGAGACCCCTCGATATTCTTTTGAGTCCCTATGGGGAGAAAGGCAGGATTGAAATAAAGATCCTGCTGCTGCTGCTGCTACTGCTCTTCTACTACTCTTCTTCTTCTACTACTACTACTACTACTACTACATTAGGCGACACACATTTTGGTGCCTCAAATGTGAGCTCTGTTTCTGGTATATTTGTCCTGCTGATTCCAAAGATGGTACCAGTTTTTTCCTGTCAACTCTTGTTTTTGAGATACAGAACATGTGCCTGCCATCTACCAGTTGCCCATAGAAAACCAGGATAACCCTATCTAAGAAACTAAAGTTGCTGTGCTCTATCCAATGCCATTTTCTGAATCAGTACCCCAAATAACTCCAGGAACAGATCAAAAAACCAAGGCACGAAGAATTTGTTTTGGGTTGGGCTGTGTAACAACAGCAACAACAGACTCAGTGGGAAGTCACTAAGGGATCTACCTTGCCTCTTTTGCTATCGCTGAACTTGTAGAGATTTCCTATCTTACAGGCGATGAAAACAAACCAAGCACAGGAACATGAGAGATAGCTGAGAAGAAGATCTGTTTGACAAGTTTTTATTCTAACGAAGCAAGTTGCAATATGACCAGCTTAATCCATTGCTGTTTTGTCCTTCTAGGCTGTCTCTCCTTCTCATTCTGCAAAAGTGCCTCTGCAGGGGACTGAAGAACGCTCTCTGGGCAAGGATACCAGAACAGCAGTTCCTTACCCCCCAAGTAAGTAGCAGATGACTGCAGTATTGTTCTCATGACTTTTTCTTATAGGATTAAAAATGAAACTGGAAAACAAGGTTTTTCTCCTATTTTACAGTTAGAAACTGACTATTAAAAAAAGAATAGTGAAGGCTGGACATTTCCAAATAGAATGCCAGTACCTCCCCCATGGATTAAATTGCAGTTTTCCCAAATGAGGACAACTCATTGACAATCAAAGAACATTATTTCTCATTTACTGTATCATTATTTACTGGAAAACACAACGAGGCTTTGTTGCATCACACTGGTTTACCTCCCCCCCCCCCCAATGATAAATAACATAAGCACATTTTTTGTTTGCAGCTTCCTCGTGTTACTGCATAACAAGTGGCTACATTTGGAATTAATTGTTTACAGCTGTGCAAGTGGCAATGCTGCAGAATGCCTAGATTATGGGGCTAGTCCTCTGTAGATTCTGCAACAAAATGTGGCTCTGGGGAAACCAAAATGTCCTGTTTTCAGCCCTGAGAGGTAAAATTGCCTCATAAATAGGTACTTGATATAGTAATTTGAATGGTTGGTGTTGAGTAATTGGCAGTGTTTGTGTTGCTACTTATATCTTTATTAGAGACCCAAAGGAAAGTTAACATCAGCAAAATAGTGGTTGCTTCTGTGACCATTTCTGTGATCAAAATGTCCTCAAGAGCCATCGCTGACTTATCGTTTGAGTTCATTGTCCCTTCAGAAATGTTAGATAGTAAATCTCATGGGGAAATGTCATTATTCTAATCAGCGCTGTCTTCATTTTAAAGCTTTAACATTCTTGCCTGACATTTCTCCTGACCTTTCGGTTGTGAGGTCTGTTGGAAACTAGAAAAATAGGGAACCTGATGAGAAAACACAACCTACAAACTATCTACAGACCCACTAAGAAAATCCAACAAATGCTATGTTCAGCAAAGGACAAGAGGGATCCTCTCACCTTTGCAGGAGTCTACCGTATACCATGCAGCTGTGGACAAGTCTATGAAGGGACCATCAAATGCAGCATTGCCCAAACACAAATCAAGGAACATGAAAGACACTGCAGACTAATCCAACCAGAGAAGTCAGTCATAGCAAAGCACCTGAAGAACCAACCTGGACGCAGCATATGTTTTGAGAACACAGAAATGCTGGACCACTCTAACAACTACCATGTCAGACTACACAGAGAAGCCATTGAAATCCACAAGCGTGTGGACAATTTCAACAGAAAGGAAGATACCATGAAAATGAACGAAATCTGGCTACCAGTATTTAAAAACTCGAAAATCATAACAGTAAATAAAGAACAACATTCAAAAACAGGGAAACTCCAGCCAAGAAACAATCAGGGACATCTAGTCACTTCTCAACAAAGGATTGCCCCAGGCAGTAAGAAGCCACACTTGAAAACTGCTAGGCCATTGAATGCTAATCAAGGTGGCCAATTGAAACATTCACACCTAGCTCCAACAGACAAGACTTCTTTCTCCCACCCTGGACATTCCACATAATATATAAACCCCATTTTCCTAGTTCCCAACAGACCTCACAACCACTGAGGATGGCTGCCATAGATGCAGGCAAAACATAAGGAAAGAATGCTTCTGGAGCATGGCCATACAGCCCGAAAAACTTACAACAACCCGGTTTTCTCTATTTTCACTTATTCTGTATTGAAGGAAGAGTTAATTGCATTCATGTTCAAACTGCTATTCCTTATAATCCTTGAAGTGTTTAGGTGGAGTCAGAGGATATATGAGTTGCATGAAACTTTGTACCACTGCTCATCTTCAGAACTGTGCTCCTCTTCCAACATGCCAGAGTCACAGGGAATTGTAATATCCTGTGAGATTTGTAGAGGTTCTTTGTGTCTCCCACTTAATGTGTTTTTGAAATATTTTATGTTGATTGGAAAATAGTATTCTGTGTGATATCAACAGGCATCATTGTGAATTACATGTTCCTGGGCTTCAAAGAGAAAGATACCATGACCACTGCAAGCTGCACTTCCCTTCTGCTACAAATCATGGTTGAACGTTATCTCATTAACTCTGACTGGTAATGAGAACAAATTGAAAGGAAAAACCATGGTGTCACAGGGATGAGGCAGAAAGTTTTATGGAGCCATAAAAGCAGCACTGATTTACTCAAATGGAGAAGTATGGAGTACACAGAGATTGGATTTTGACAGTTTTAGTAGATCTAGCCTTGCTTAAAATATGTGAGGCTTTCTCAAGCATGACACATATGAAAATGAATAATGAGCCTTGGTCAGTTCTGCGGGTTTATTTAATTGAACTCTTTTCTTCTTTTTCTTTTTAATGACACTGCATTGCAGAAATTTGCTGGGGAGGGGGGAGAATCCCTAGAGGAAACAGTATAATGTGGAGCAGCTTGAGAAGGGTTAAATTGATAAGGCTTGCCCTTTTCCATACGCTTTTCCTGATGTAGCAACTTCCACTCAAGAGTGAGAAGAGCAGGCACAAGTGTGAATGGATGAGGAAAGGGCCAGATGGCTGGACAGCAGAATCTAGAAGCTTCATTTCAGCAAAGCCTTTCCCCACTGAATGGAAATCTAGTGCTTCCTAAAACCTCCTTTTTGTTACAAAGAACAAGAGGAGTAGGTGTACATGAGGGTGCTGTATAACTTAATATCTGCAGGTGTATCCTACAGGAAATTCTGCTGCAAAGAACAGCTCTCAGTTGCCTTCATATTCTTTGGCTGTTCCCAGATAATCCTTCTGTTGTGCCATTTCCCTGCCCCCCCCCTTTTTTAAAAAAAGATTTTTGCTGGGGACCCAACTAATAATAATAATAAAAACTTTATTTTTATACCCGCCTCCATCTCCCCGAAGGGACTCGGGGCGGCTTACATGGGGCCAATTCTAGCAATACAGTTAAAATGTAACACATTAAAATGTAGAACAACAAGATAATAACAAAAACAATATAAAACAAAATAAAAAAAACAACATTAAGCAATATATAAAACAAACATCCGAACCAACAACCAGTAGCAATATTCAATATCTCGTCGTGGGTGGGCGGATTGGTGCAAAAACAATAGAGGATAGAGGTAGTGAGTAAAGGGCATATATCATATAGCAGCAATAAGGATAAAAGCAATTAATCATAATAGCTTTGGATACAACAATAGTAAACTAATGCAGTCTTGTACCCTTCCTTTATTCTTCCACATCTTTCTATTTTTTGCAAAATAATCTGTTAAAGAGGAAAAGACAGACTGTCTGCTCAGTGCCATTTCACTGGTAGCATGCAGGGCCTTTTATACTAAAGCACCCTGAATATATTACAGAAATTGCCTATCTACAAAGTGTGAGCCATCTATAGCCCTACTGAGGCCCCTAAAACTTTGATCTGTAGAGGACAACTGGACTTGGAGTGATAAAGATGCATCTTGGAGTGTTCCCAACTTACACACTGTTGGACATGAAGAAGCACCAACACTTGCATAGAGAACAATGAGAGATAGAGGGAACCTTATGATGCATGACTTGTTTTCTCCTCTGTTTCTCAGACCTATATAATTCAAGTTGTTTTGCTTCCTGCCTGCATGAAGAGGTCACTTCCCTCTTCTTCCCAGAAGTATTTAGTCTATTTTATTACCTCCTTTCTTTGAGAAGGCAGCACCATGAGGCTTCTCTGGTTCAAGGTGCCTTACATAGAGATATGAGAGTCAGCATTAGAGACACTTTACCAAAGTTAGATAACTTTCTTTTGTCTTGCTACTTTTTATCTGAGATGTATTACCTGCAACAATAAAAGCAAGTTTTCCCCTTTTTCCCCACCATAAGCTCATATATATCACTGATTACATTGCACTCTATGCCGCTATAGATACCAAATATTCCCACGCACCTCTCCTCCTTCAACATGACCAAAACTCCATTTCGGGTAGGTTGCGTACTCAACTCCAGTTCTCAAAACCCATTTTATTGAGATTTGGCTTTGGTTGCCTGGCCTTCATCCAACCCATTGCAGCATCCAGGCACTTGCCCGTCATGTGCACAGACTCTGCTGGCTCCAGCAATAAAAGCTTTGTCATGACACCATTCATGCAGCTTCTCACCAGGATAAAGTAGTTCTGCATTCCAGTGTTACTGTTCTGAGGAAAATTATTTCCTGATTCCATATCTACCCAGACATTATATTTCCTTTATGTCTGTCCAGCCTGCTGGATGTTTCCCTCCATTTGGCTCTGGCATTCTAAGTGGAGTGGACAGCGCAGTTTGGATCCCTGACAAAGATTTTTGGGTTTCACGCTGCCCCTCAGAGTGGAGATCTATGTCAAAACAGAGCTTTGTGAAATGTGGTGAATATATTTTATTTCTGGCATGCCACTTAGTGGTTAAGCCAAGGCCTGGTAGTTTGTGTAGTCACCCCACAAGGGCTGTGGCAAGTAGCTGGAACCACGCTGAAGGGTATGCTATCTTTACTTTTATCCAGCACTGCAGACTGAACATTGGGACTTAGGGAGATATGGAATTTGGTACTACTGTCTTTTTGGTACTTCTATTTTACTCTGCCATTCCTTCACACATTCAATCTGCTAGTTATTCTCTTGGATGTGTGAATCACAGATATCACAAAGAAGAATGGTTTGTTTATCTGTAGTTGGTTCTGTGTGTGTTTCTCTGTGAACTTACACTTCTTGCCCTCCTTCCCTCGTGGATGGCCACTTCTTTGCATGTAACTGATGCTATGATCACACCACAGAACTGAGGAAAAAATCAGGAATCCTGTTGTGAAAGGTTCTGAGTAGTTCTGTATAGGTGCAAAACAACCCATGTGTGAAGAGTTCACAGATAATTAAATTAAGAATCAGGTACAGATAACCAACGTGCTATTTTCTTCAAAAATGTTGGTGGGGAATGTTCTGTATCACAGGCAGTAGGTAACATGAATGTGGGTTCTCCGTGTGATTTGACCCTTCTGTGAGTAAACTTTATTGAATCATATTCTGAAACTAGCTATGAGTCTGGTTTCTGTCTGGTCTTCTAATTCTGGCTCCTCATTGTTCTGCAGTTTGAATATCGCAGAAGGCCTATTTTGTAATTTGTCAACACTGAATTGTCTCCTCCAGCTGTGGCCGACCTGCAGAGGATGTTTCCTACTCCACCATCCTTGGAGCAGCACCCTGCTTTTTCTCCAGTGATGTGTTATAAAGATGGGATTGGCTCAGAGACATTGACTACACTAGGGATGTTGGAAAGTCCAGCCTTCAACATGACTACAAATCAACTCACAGAGTTTAAAATTGAAGTGGAAGATGGATTAGGCAGCCCTAAACCGGAAGAAATAAAGGTAGCAAGTCAAAACTACGAATATTGTTGAACTGCAATATGATTTGGATAGGTTGTTTAAGGAAGTTGTTCTAATCACATTTCACTCGGAGTGTTTTTTGTAATTGGTAGGCTCAGAAGAGCATAGCAGGGGTATTGCTGTGGGAAGGATCCAGTTCTCCCTTACCCTATCCTTGTTTGTTCCAACTTTGTTCCTGTACCCATGTTACTGTATACTCTGTAGCCGTTGAAATCCCTATCTTTAGATGCTATCTAAGATAGAAACAATGTACAGTCAGCCCACCATAATTTGGGTTTGATTATTCGCAGATTTGATTAATATGATCTTTCTCTATGACTCTCTAGGTCAGTGGTTCTCAACCTGGGGTCCCCAGATGTTTTTGGTCTTCAACTCCCAGAAATCCTAACAGCTGGTAAACTGGCTAGGATTTCTGGGAGTTGTAGGCCAAAAACATCTGGGGACCCCAGGTTGAGAACCACTCCTCTAGGTCCTTCGGTGCAACTCTGGGGTTACCTTCCACTGGACGTTGATCACTGAGTTGTGCTGGAGGACCTAGAGAGCGCTCCCTGAGGTTAAAAAGGGTTTTTTTTCATGATTTTCCCACTTTCACAGAGGTTCTGCACCCCTAAATCCAGCAAATGTGGTTGGCTGGCTGTTTCTCCACTCCTGCTGACCATTATTAGCCACTCCTGTTTGGAGAAGGTAGAAGGGGGACACATTCTGAAACAAGAGAGAGCTAGTTTGATCTTTCTGAAGATAGAGAAGTTATGTGATTATTCATTCTCTCATACACACTCACATAAGACATATAATGGACTTGATCAGCCCTATAACAGTAGCAATGCACTTTCTTGGATGTACAGGATTTCTCCTTTGTGCACAAGATGTCAACCTTTCAGCCCTTTTTGGGCTCCTCTGCATTTGCGCCTTTGAAGATTCTCCCAAGTCAGTGCCTGCAACCTCTGAAGATTCCAGAAGCCTGCATCTATCGGCCATCCTGGGAACTTCCTCCCAAAACTGAACATCTTCCTTTACCACCTAACACTACATTCATCCGCGATGGTTATACGTAAGTACAGCAATGGATACAGACATCGGTGTGTGTGTTTGTATATTCTTACAGGAAATAGATTTAATGTGTTTACTGCGTTAACATTAATCAGTTTTACCACTTACCCTGGATCTTTGCTTTGCTCATAATGAATTTGACAAATGCCTATTTCACAATGTCAATTAATAATTAAGCTAAAGTGATCTCACATCATTTCAGCACTGATAAACATTTTCAGTCATCATTGTAGTCATTTGAAGTTCATTTTGTATTTCTTTTTCAACAAAAGAAGACAAATGATAGGAGCAGGTGGGTTGCTCAGAGTTTTCCTGACTTTATGGCCATATTCCAGAAGCATTCTCTCCTGACATTTTGCCCACATCTATGACAGGCATCCTCAGAGGTTGTGAGGTCTGTTGGAAACTAGGCAAGTGAGGTTTATTTATTTATTTCTTTACCACACTTTTATCCCACCCTTTTCAGCCCGAAGGCGACTCAGGGCGGCATACAGACTGGCAACACACATAAATACATAATTTAAAACAGGTTAAATCACATAATAGAAATCATATAAAAACAATTTAAAACTATAAAAAATCAATGACTTCCAGGTTTAAATCCATGTGCATTTGCATCGTTAAGCCATTTCATTTTTGTTCACAAAATCTGGTTACAATGAGGTTCCAAAATCTGGTTACAATGAGGTTCCAAAAGCTTGCTCGAAGAGCCAGGTTTTTACTCTTTTCCTAAAGGTCAGGAGGGAGGGGGCTGATCTAATATCCCCAGGAAGGGAGTTCCACAGCCGAGGGGCCACTACTGAGAAGGCCCTGTCCCTCGTCTCTGCCAAGCGCGCCTGTGAGGCAGGCAGGATCGAGAGTAGGGCTTCCCCAGATTATCTTAAATTCCTGGAAGGTTCATAAGGGGAGACACATTCGGATAGGTAAGTTGGGCTGGAACTGTTTAGGGCTTTATAGGCTAAAGCCAGCACTTTGAATTATGCCCGGTAGCAAATTGGGAGCTAGTGGAGCCGTATGCTCCCTGAGCCCTGCTCCCGTTAGTAGCCTGGCTGCTGCCCGCTGGACCATTTGAAGCTTCTGAACAGTTTTCAAAGGCAACCCCAGGTAGAGCGCGTTGCAGTAGTCTATACGGGAAGTAACCAGAGCGTGGACCACCATGGCCAAGTCAGACTTCCCAAGGTACGGGCGCAGCTGGTGCACAAGCTTTAGTTTGGTTCATTGTTCACAGTGCCATTGTGCCTGCTAGTCAAAAGCCTGGTTCCAAAACCATGTTTTCATGACTGAAAGAAAGGAGGGAGGACGCCAATCTAATTTCGCTGAGGAGCAAATTCCCCAAGCAGGGGGTCACCACTGAGAAGGCCCTTTCTCTCGTCCCCACCAGACGCGTTTGCGAAACTGGTGGGGCTGAGAGCCGGGCCTCCCCAGTGGATCTTAAACTATGAGGTGGAACGTAGAGGAAGATACATTTGGACAAGCAAGCTGGACCGGAGTCATATAGGGCTTTATAGGCCAAGGCCAGCACTTTGAATTGTGCTTGAAAATGGACCGGCAGCCAGTGGAGTTGACATAACAGGGGGGTGGTGTGCTCCCTGTATGATGCTCCTGTGAGCAATCTGGCTGCCGCCTGTTTGACTAGTTGAAGTTTTCAAACAGTCTTCAAAGGCAACCTCACATAGAGTGTGTTGCAGTAATCTATTTGGGATGTAACCAGAGCGTGGACCACTGTGGCAAGATCAGACTTCTGTACGGGCACAACTGGTGCACAAGCTTTAACTGTGCAAAAGCTCCCCTGGCCACTGCCAAAACCTAGGGTTCTGGGCTCAGCAATGAATCCAGGATCGCTCCCAAGCTGCGAACCTGCGTCTTCAGGGGGAGTGTAACCCCATCCAACACAGGCTGTAACCCAATGCCCTGTTCGGCCTTACTGCTGACCAGGAGTACCTCTGTTTTGTCTGGATTCAATTTCAATTTGTTCGCCCTCATCCAGACCGCCACAGCGACCAAGCTCCAGTTCAGAATCTGAACAGCTCCTTAGTAGCAGGTGGGAAGGAGGGAAAGTGTTAGACGTCATTGGCATACAGGTGACACCGCACCCCAAACTCGGGGTAATCTTCCCCAGCTGCTTCATTCAGATGGTAAATAACATGAGAGACAATATTGAGCCCGGTTGAGCAGGTGTCTCCCAACAACACCTTCTGGGAACGACCCTCTAGGAAGGACCAGGTCCACTGCAAAACAGTGCCTCCAAGGCCTATTCCCACTAGGCGTCCCATAAGGATACCGTGGTCAACAGTATTGAAGACCACTGAGAGGTCCAGCAGAACCAACAGTGACACACTCCCCCTGTCTAGCTCCCGATGTACATCATTAACTAAGGCGACCAAGGCTGTCTCGGTTCCATGTCCTGGCCTAAAATCAGACTGCCAGGTCCAGATAATCCGTGTCTTCCAAGAATACCTGGAGTTATGAGGCCACCACCCATTCCAGGACTTTGTCCAAAAAGGGGAGATTGGAAACAGGCCAATAGTTGACGAATTGAGTGGGATCCAGTGATGGTTTTTTCAACAGCGGTTTTATCACAGTTTGTTTTAAGCTCGCTGGAATGTTACCTTCCTGAAGGGAGGCATTAACCACCACCTTCACCCACTTGGCCAGTCCCCCTCTGGTTTCCTTTAAAAGCCAGGATGGGCAGGGGTCTACGATCCATGTGGTCGCTCTCATCCTTTCAAATATCTTGTACACATCCTCGGGTTTCACCAATTGAAATGAATCCATCAAAATCGGACAAGCAGGTACTCGTGTTACATCCTCAGAGACTGCCGTTAACATGGTGTTAACGGCAGTCTCTTATATATCTGTGGACTAATGTCCAGAGTGGGAGAAAGAACTCTTGTCTGCTGGAGGCCAGTGTGAATGTTGCAATTGGCCACCTTGATTAGTATTGAATGGCCTTGTAGTGTCAAAGTCTGGCTGCCTGCTACCTAGGGGTCCTTTGTTGGGAGTTGTTAGCTGGCCTTGATTGATTCTTGTCTGGAGTTCCCCTGTTTTTTTATGTTGCTCTTTATTTGCTGTCCTGATTTTAGAGTTTTTAATACTGGTAGCCAGATTTTGTTCATTTTCATAGTTTCCTCCTTTCTGTGGGTGAAACGTCAGGAGAGAATACTTCTGGAACATTGCCATACAGCCCAGAAAACACAGCAACCCAGTGATTCCGTCCATGAAATGCTTCAACAACTCATTGATAGGAGTGGGTGCTTCTGTCATTCCTGTTTAAGAAGAATGGAAGGAATATTCAATTTGCAAGTGATGGTGCCCTACACAAACAGCATTTTCTGCACGAGAAACACTGTTTTCTGCTACAGAAAAGTACTATTTTCTGCACAGAAAATACTGGGCTCTTAAAGGAATTGCCATCAAAAAGAAAGAAAGATGATGCCCTTGACACTATTTGGACAGCAATTGAATTCCTGGGTTGGGTTTTTGTTGTTGTTGTTGGTTACAGTAACTATCTTCTGATATCTTTGCTGATTATTAATTGCAGGTATTTATTAGGATAACAATCTTATATTTCCAGTGTAATCCAATTAGAACAAAGACTATTACTGCAGGCGTCAGCCAAACAAGTGATTGCTAATCAAGATTTATAGGTCACCTTTTATTGCTTCTCTGTGGTGCTCGCTGTGTTTAAGCGTCTTGAGCATGGCTTTCTTCCTTTCCTTTGACAGCTACTCAAGTCTGTTAAGAGATAACAAGCAAATTATTCCAGTGAATCAGGTTGCACAGCACTTCCTTTTCAAATAGCTGGCAGAATGGGGGTTCCAAATGAATATTTTAACCTGAAAAGGGATGCCAAAACAGTATGTCTGCAGGTTTCCACTCCATCAAGGAAATGATTGCTGTAAATGGGCCCATTTTGAGAAAAGTGTTTTTATTAGCAATCTGAGTAAGAATGATTATGGAGAGCTCTCTCTGTGAAAGTCCATGACCACATGTGTGTTGGAAAATAATAACTTGTTTTGATGGCAAGAGACATGTTTCGATGCCAAGTTGAGGCCCAAAGTAACAAACTACACACATTCCTTGCTAGTGGGCAAGTCACAGAAAATACTTGACTTCTACTAGTTTAGGAAAGTTACTTGTAGTTGAATAAAATCCTCATGGACAGAAGTCAGTTTAAAAAAGCATTTTTATTCCCATTTTTTGCAGCTATTAAAAACATAATGCCAACAAATTTTGCTGAACAAAGAATTTATGATTCTATGAAGCATTCCCTTTGCACCCCCTTCTCCCATTTTCTGTTAAAGCAATGGGGCAGTAAAGGACTCCTGTATGCCTTTACCCTCTACAACAGTGGTTCTTAACCCGTGGGTCCTCAGGTGTTTTGGCCTACAACTCCCAGAAATCCCAGCCAGTTTACCAGCTGTTAGGATTTCTGGGAGTTGAAGGCCAAAACAGCTGGGGACCCACAGGTTGAGAACCACTTCTCTACATACTTTGTCTATAACTTTTCTCATTTTCTCAATCATCCATTGCGGTTGATGTATATATGTGAGCAGCCACGCCATGTGACCAGAGAGTCTTCAACATAAAACACTCCTTCTTTTCATTAGGAGTATGGGTTTTGCATGTGCATTTAAATGTAACTGATGCAACTTCAGTTATGGAATGTGCATACCTTGCCCTGATTTGCTAAAAGTCATCTTAGAGAAACTCAAGCTATTCCACGCTTTCACTTGCAGACTGCTGAAGGAGACTGAGTCTTAACTGAACCAGTCTTCATTTCCCTCAGAATAGGCACTAATACCCTGGGAATGTGCCCCTCATCCAACACATTAGATTCTCTTTGTTTCCTTCATGCATAATTTGTCTCTTTGTCTGTCCATAAATCTAGAACGTTGTTTTGTCTTTGCAAGTCTACCAAGGCTAATACTGACTTCATTACAGTGCAGCAGATACTTTTTTTCCATGTGGTATACTTTTCCTGCCCTTTCTCACACAATCAACAAAAGTCAGTACAGTTTAAAGACCTGTGAGGCCTTCTGTGGCACGCAGTGCTCAATACTTGACCTCAGTTAGAGGGTGGGTCGGTTTGTAGCCACCTTTGTGTTTAAACATTGGAATGATATCAATATATACACCCCGCTTATCTTCTTATAGCAACATACCCAGTGTTGGGAGCCTAGCAGATCAAGACTATCTTCAGATGAACACCCCCCAGATGAGCACTCCTGTGACACTAAACAGTGTGGCCCCAGCCAGCAACGGTGGAGCAGGGGTTCTGCCTTCCCCAGCCACTCCTCGCTTCTCCGTGCCTACGCCGCGCACACCTAGGACGCCAAGGACACCTCGAGGTGGGGGCACTGCCAGTGGGCAAGGATCTGTGAAATATGACAGCACGGACCAAGGCTCGCCGGTATCGACCCCCTCTACCACCCGGCCCCTCAATTCTGTGGAGCCAGCAACTGTCCAACCGATTCTAGAGGCCCATAGCCTGTACGTCACACTTATTCTTTCCGACTCAGTGTTGAACATCTTTAAAGACAGCAATTTTGACAGCTGCTGCATTTGTGCATGCAACATGAATATCAAGGGGGCCGACGTGGGGCTGTATATCCCGGATTCATCAAACGAGGACCAGTATCGGTGTACTTGTGGATTTAGTGCAATTGTAAATCGCAAACTAGGGTACAACTCTGGGCTGTTCATCGAGGATGAATTGGATATTTTTGGCAAGACATCAGACATTGGCCAAATTGCAGAGAGGAGGTTGATGATGAGTCAGTCCCCCTTATTGCCTCAGCTGGGAGAGGGATCCAAGAAGGTTCAGGAACTCCCCGTTAACCTTCTCCTCCTCCTTCAAAGTCAGCACAGCCAGCCTTTCACCTCATTGAACTGCTTATACTACATGTCTGCAACTAGCCGGCAAACACTCCCTTATACAAACTGGAACTATGACAGAGTTCGGGCCGAAAGCAATGATTCCTGGGTTGAGTGCTTCAATGCCCTGGAACAAGGCAGGCAGTATGTGGATAATCCTATCGGTGGGAAAGTGGATGAAGCTCTTGTCCGAAGTGCTACGATTCACTCTTGGCCTCACAGTAATGGTATTGTTTTCCTTTTTATTTGGGAAAATGTTCGGGATGCTGGGGTGTTATGCTATTCCAATGTAAAACTGGAAACACATGTGAGCAAAACAGAATTCATACAAATTTTAAGAAATGAGTGAGAAAGAATTGCCAAAATATTTGGTCTTTCTGCTTTTAATACTTTCAATTTCTAGTTTTAATGTTTTTAAAAAACTTTGTTTTAAATATTTTGGAGCCCCCAGTGGCGCAGTGGGTTAAACCGCCAAGCTGCTGAACTTGTTGACCGAAAGGTCGCAGGTTTGAATTTGGGGAGCGGCGTAAGCTTCTGCTGTCAGCCCCAGCTTCTGTCAACCTAGCAGTTCAAAAACATGCAAACATGAGTAGATCAATAGGTACCACTCAAACGGGAAGGTAATGGCGCCCCATGCAGTCATGCTGGCCACATGACCTCAGAGGTGTCTATGGACAACTTCGGCTCTTCGGCTTAGAAATGGAAATGAGCAGCAACCCCCAGAGTCGGACATGACTGGACATGATGTCAGGGGAAAACCTTTACCCTTTTTTACTTTAAATATTTTAAACTCCTGGTCTGTGATCGTAATAATAAAATTCATTCAAAATATTTGAAGGGAGCAGCTCAGCTTAGGTCTGAGGTTAACTTTCCAGTATTTCCAGTTAAAAGGATCAGATGACAGGGGATGGAAAAGACTGCCGATCCCTTGCCAGTATTGCACAACATACTGATCAAAATCAGGTATGTTGCTCTCTGTCCCAGCAAGATCAGGCAGCTGCTGTTTATTTTTCAACAGCGTTTTCATGGAAGCAAACAGATCAAGCACATGTGGTACCATGAGCTGGCCAGCTGGTTAACATATACACTTTCATTCTGGCAGGCTTTTAAAGAAGAAGGTTTTTAAGTTCAAGTCAGGTTGGAGATGTGGTTTTAGCTTTGAATATATTTTAATCTGTTTTAAGGATTTTAACTGTGGGATATAAATAAACATTACCATAATCACCCTACACTAGAGACCATGGGCAATGGAGCTGACTCCATGAGTGACTCCAGTTGTATTGTTGTTTTGCAGTTCTGGACATCAGCACACTATCCTCCCAGGATGTGGTGCGCATGCTCCTTTCTCTCCAGCCCTTTCTGCAGGATGCCATCCAGAAGAAACGAACCGGCAGGACCTGGGAGACCATCCAGCATGTTCAAGGACCCCTCACTTGGCAGCAGTTCCATAAAATGGCAGGACGTGGTATGATCAACATGTTCATATTCATTAGCTTTGCTTTGCACTAGTGCAAAACATTGCAACTTTCCAGGTTTTTTTTTATAGATCCCAAGATAGTGCAGATGTGGGATTCGAAACTGTGATCCTCATCAGAAATGATCCTGTTGGTTCTTGTGATGGTCATACAATCAACATGCCATAAATTGGCTGCATTAAGCAGGGGTTGTATTGGTTGGGAGAAGAATTGCATTTTCACAGCCATAAAATTCTTATGGTTTTAGAAGTAAGAAGTAATGTTATCAATTTGACTTGTGGAGGATTGAGCCCCACCTGAATTGACACAATTTTCATTATGCATATAATAAAATCTCTTAGAAAGTCCAGCCTGTGTTATCTGATATCAGTCCATGATCAAAGTTCTGTAACTGTCATTTTCATTCAGGTTCAGAAGAATCTCCCGAGCCTCTTCCCATCCCCACATTGCTGGTGGGTTATGACAAGGACTTCCTGACAATCTCTCCATTCTCCTTGCCTTTTTGGGAGAGGCTACTATTAGATCCATATGGTGGTCATCAAGATGTTGCCTATATTGTGGTGTGTCCAGAAAATGAGGCCTTGCTTAATGGAGCCAAAACTTTCTTCAGGGACTTAAGCACTGTATATGAGGTATGCAGTCTCCACGATTAGGATATGATGTCCCTCCTGCAATTGCATTGTAGAAGAAGCTCTAGCAAAAAAATCCCTTGTTTTCATTGTACCCAAGGGAGTACCTTATCCATAGATACTTTTTATGAAATAGAATGATAGCTGGCACTTGCATGCATCAGATAATTATGATTATTAGACCAGTATTGTATAGTTTATTTGTGACTGTGCAAAATCAATGTTACATTGTGGAGGGGCTTTCAGTTCACATGCGTATGTAAAGTTAAGCATTAAACTGAAATAGGGGTCTGATACTCAAATTGATATGGTTACTTCATTGACTTGTTCATTCTCAGAGACGGCTGCCCGTTTCTCTAGTAGTATTTTAATTATCCACTAGGAAGCAGTAATGATTAAGAGGTGAGGTATGCAAAAGAAACACACATTCAGTTAGTGTTCCCCCAGTTGCAGGCATTTGAGAGACAGAAAGCCTCTGATTTTATTGGAATACACTTCTATTGTTTCATCCAGAGAGAATTTAGAGTGCCTGAGTCCCACTGAAAAGAATGGCACAGAAGCAGAAAGACACACAACTCCCATTAAACTAAAAGTAAAAATATTTTTATGTTGGTTGCAAACTAGACATATGGACCTCTAGATGTGTGTAGCTATACAGCTGTAACTTTTGCATGTTTTGTGCTACTGCAGTCAGTTTACGTCCTTGTGCCTCTAGATGTGTCGGCTTGGGCAGCATAAGCCCATCTGTAAAGTGTTGCACGATGGGATCATGCAGGTGGGAAAGACGGCTGCCCTGAAACTGACAGATGACGTGGTGAGCGACTGGTTCAATGCACCCTGGGGCAGTGAAGACACTGACAATCATTCCAAGCTCAAACTTTATGCGCAAGTTTGTCGTCATCACCTAGGTATGTATGCAAAGGTTTCCTATTTTCAGCAGATGTGTGTTGGGAGCCAACTTGTGCTTGAGCCTCTCTGAAAGGTTGACCTGGGAATATGACTATAATATACTTTGAGAAGGGTTCTGAAGAGTAGTTCTTATGGTTGAACAAAATACCTGTCTTGCCTTCCACATTCATTGGCATTAGGGATACAGGATTCCTGTGAAAGTGAAAAACCGCCAAAAATGCTATTTTTTACCTGCGAAGACACCTTTTTAAGAATTTCTGTGTATTCTAACATGGCTGTATGGTCAATGTCTGCTGGGAGCTAAACATAGGATCTCATTGGAGAACCTCGAGATTCCTACAGAACTGTTCTAAAGATCTCTAGGTCCTCCAGCATGGGTCTCAGCAGTCATTAGTCTTTAAACTAATGAATGAATTCAGAGTGTCCTGTTCCTACCTGAACAGGTAGGTTTGGCATTCTGGAGGCTGAAACAAGAATACACCAGTTCCTGGAGCATTGGGTAAAGTTGGGAACCTACAACTATGTACTCTTCTGACCCATAAACTATCAATAACAGCTTAAGTCTGTGTTTGCTTCTACTCGTAGCTCTGCAGGAACTTTGCAAAAGTACTTGATTTGTTGAGTGTTGTCCTGCTGATATATTTAAAGTCTCATTTTTTCAGTGTTCTTTCAAAAAGAATGTTCAAGGCTTTCTCTTCAGAACCATCTAATTTCTGTCCATCTGTGTGTTCTTTCAGCACCTTACTTAGCAACTTTGCAACTTGATAGCAGCCTGCTGATGCCACCTAAACAGACTTCGCCATTGAGCCAGGAACGAACAAAACCTGGGCGACCAATGGTCCCCTCCCACTCGACCCCTTTTGCTGTTCCTGGGCCTCCCCCAGTGGGCAGTTCTTTCACTTCGACACCTAGCTCTAGGACCACAAACCTCTCAGTGAGCAGCTCTTCGGCCTCGGGGTCAACAGTGCCGCGGTTGTCAGGATCGTCCTTACCACCCGGTATTAAGCAGGCAAGCTCTACCTCTTCATCTGGGTTCAGTAGTGGCCTACCTCAAGGTCAGAACCTAGCTTCTGGGGTAAATCCTACAGAGAGATCCCAAGGAAGTTCAGTCTCAGGAGGAGATGCCGAAGTAGGCCACAACTCATCTCAACAGAATCAAGAAGGGATGGAAAGGTAAATCCAGTGATGGTTTGTTTGACGTTGTTTGTAGGTTGTCTCAGTATATTAAAAGGGACATTAGAAATTTTTCATCATGTTAACCACATCCCAACACATAATTAAGCTTGCTCACAGCCATTGATTTCAATAGGTATGGATATATGTAACATCATCATTATCATAATGATGGTGATGATGATGATAGTACCCACCTCTCCAATATAATACATTGATTGATGGCTTTATGTCACCATACATAAGTTTTTAGTAAACATTTGATTCCATCTCTTTTTTACAGCACTGCAGAAAGGGAAAGAATGGGAATTTCCCTTGAGCCCGAATCCGTAGATAGTCATGCCTATCCTCCAGCTGTTGTTATTTATATGATAGATCCCTTCACCTACATTGCAGAAGAGGAATCTGCTTCCACCAACCTCTGGCTTTTGGGTCTCATGCGATGTTACACAGAGATGATGGACAGCCTTCCTGAACACATGAGGAATTCTTTCATTCTCCAGGTATTCCTTCCTCCCTAGTTGCATCAGAGTTGCATCAGAGTTGCATCAGCGTTGCATCAGCGTGTGTCTCCAGAGGAGAGCTTTGTGTCCTAGAGACCAATATTATTTTTAGGTTTTCAGCCAAGCAGTGGTCTTGCCAGCTCTTAATGTGCCTTATTTATGTCCATACGGTTGTAGTTTGTTTTTTAAGCACATGGAGTTTTGCCAGCAGAAGCCAAGGCAACAATGCACGATCATTTGAGCACAGCATATTTTCTTTCTTGAGCTACTTTCTGGGAGCACAGTTTGCACTGATACTTCAGGAACAATGTATATTTTATGGATTTATTGTAGCTTTGGAATGGAAGTTAAAATTTATGGCACAGCGCATCCACACTGCGATCTTGTAGAATAGTGAAATGAAGTTATTGAGCTAATCTCATTTGCTTTGATATTAAGTACAGTAAGACCCCCATATATGAATGGGATACACTCCTGGACTTCGGAATCACAGATAAAAGTGAACTTGTTTAAAAACGAAAGGCTTCTGGCCCAAGAATATAATCTATATAAATAAAAATGTAATGTTCGTTTGTGGGATTAATATAACTCAAAAACCACTGGACAGATTGTCACCAAATTTGACCACAAAACACCTAACCCAAGGAGCGACTATCACTAAAAAAAAAATTGATTTTGTCATTTGGGAGTTGTAGTTGCTGAGATTTTTAGTTAACCTAGAATCAAAGAGCATTCTGAACTCCACCAGTGATGGAATTGAACCAAACGTGGCACACAGGACTCCCATGGCCAACAGAAAACACTAGAAGGGTCTGGTGGGCATTGCCCTTGATTTTGGGAGGTGTAGTTCACCTACATGCAGAGAGCACTGTGGACTCAAACAATGATGGATCTGGACCAAACTTGGCACAAATATTCCATATGCCCAAATATGAACACAGATGGAGTTTGGGGGAAATAGACCTTGACATTTGGGAGTTGTAGTTACTGGGATTTATAGTTCACTTACAATCAAAGAGCATTCTGAACCCCACCAATGACAGAATTGGGGCAAATTTCCCACACAGAACCCCCATGACCAACAGGAAATACTTAAGTCCATCCAGTCCAACTCCCTTCACCAGGGCAAGAAAACGTAATCAAAGCCCTCCTGACAAAGAGCCATCCAGCCATAGATATAGATAGATATATATGATTCACACACACAGAGATATAGTATCATAGATTTGAAAGGGACCCCTAAAGAAGGACAATGATATGTTGCATGTTCCAGGGTGAGCAAACCAGACACTCTCCACATCAACACTGACAAAGCAACAGCAAGAAATACTGTTTACCCACAAGCAGAAAGAAATTACATATATTAGAAACCAACACTTTCTCATTACTTTATTTTCCAGATCAGCAGACTGGGCCACAGCAACGCATGGCAGGGGGCGGCTAATAATAATAATAATAATAATAATAATAATAATAATAATAATAATAAACAACTTTATTTCTATACTGCCCTATCTCCCCAAAGGAACTCAGGGCTGTTTACAACAGAAAATTGGCAACCGTTCAGTGCTGGTATAACATAACAAAAAGATCAAATCATAAACAATAAAATAAATAATATCAGGTGTACTTATAGAACTCAAAAATAACAAAATTAGAACTTTAAATATATAAATCAAACATTTAGGACATGTTTACTAATAGATCTAAAAATAGCAAACAATTAAAACATTAAATGTAAAAAGGCATTTACAAGTCAACAGGGCTGAGGTATTGTCTGAGTCAGGGTGTTTAAGGTGGTGGTTGAATTAAAATTACTATATTGCACAATTCCACAAGTTAAAAAGGACCTATATGGGTCTAGTTCCCACCCCCTCCCCCATCCACCTCCCAGTTTCCTCCCCATACTGTCCAACCCATTCTTTATGCCCTCACAGAGATTCCCAGATCCCCACAATTAAGGAATCCTGTGGATACTGTTTAGGCACAAGAATGCAACCCAGGTCTTTGTGTGGGGTATAAACTGTGGTAAGAGGTCCTTGGGGAGTCAGATGGGGGTGTTTTTTTTCTCGTGATGGTGAGATGTCTCTAACCATGTTGGTAAAAGTCCTATAGTGCCAAGATCTTGCTGATTGGCTTAACATAGTTGGATTGCACATAAACCCAGAGCCTCAAGCTTGTCTAGTCCACAGGCCTTGCCCGACCCACCCCGACCCAGAACCCAGATCCAAACTAAAATAGCCCAACCCACCCTGAACCCAAAAAGACCCTCCAAGACCCAAAAAAACCTTGCAAATTGCAGTGGTAAAACTCTCTGAACCCAAAAAAACTCTAACAAAGGAGATGGTAAGACTCTAATACAAACACCACCCACTGCATGTCTGCAAGACAGGGTGGAACAGAAGGCCAGTAATGGCTGTTTTATCTGCTGCTGGCTTCAGGTGAAATGGCAGAGCTGTGTGGGCCATGCCCAGTTATGTTTGGTGACCAAAGTTCTAAAGTAGAGTTCTCACCCTCTGCTTGCCTCTGCTGCTCAGCAAAGCCTGACAAAGTTCTTGACATCCAGCGTTCCCTCTGTATACACTTATTTCATACTTTTGTGTAAGAGCAGTTCCATCATCTTGAATCCCTACCTATACTTAGAAATGCCCAGACACAGCTTTCTCACTGCGTATTCTGCTTGTGATAATTAAGCTTAAAAATGTAGCTTTATGGGGATCCTTTTGAAAGCTTTGAAGTTAAAAGAGCATGTGTGCACTGATGAAAATTGCTTCTGAATTACTTTAGTGGCATAATGGAGCTCCTTCCCTGACTGTAGATTGTCTCTTGATCATTGTAAATACCGTATCAGAAACATGTTTGTGTGAACTTTCCCATGGTCATGGAAGTCTAGAGTGGTGTTGCCTTGTTTTTTTTTTGTTTTTTTTTGGGGGGGGGGGAACTATGAGGCTTACTTGGAACACTGCCCTCTCCTCAGCAAGATGTCATTGACTGTTGTGTCCCAGGATAGCGTGTCTCTGTTGTCTCTGAGCTTCTTCCAGTCCTGCATTTTGGAATAAAATGTTTTATGGGTATGTCTTAAGTATATGATCTGTGAAGGAGTCTCAAATTGAGCCTTCTAATTTTGACTGTGTTCTCCCTCCATCACGTTCTAGATTGTGCCTTGCCAAAACATGCTGCAAACCACGAAGGGTGAGCAGGTCCTTTACGTTCAGCACTTGAAGTCCCTGGCATTCTCCGCCTACTGCCAGTGCCGGCGACCACTGCCCACCCAGAACCACATTAAGTCTCTGACAGGCTTTGGGCCCGCTGCCAACACTGAGACAACTCTCAAGAACCCTGAGGTAAAAACACTTTAACCCAGAGAAGTCCAGGGATGGCTGTGTGTCTCTCCAAAAAGACAGAGATTTGCACTTTTTTTCTATATCAGGAGCATCTGCAAGGACGTTGCTCAAGGGACACTTGTATGTTTTGATGTTTTACTATCCTTGTGGGAGGCTTCTCTCATGTCCCTGCATGGGGAGCTGGAGCTGACAGAGGGAGCTTATCTGCACTCTCCCCGGATTCGAACCTCCAACTTGTTGGTCCTCAGTCTTGCCGGCACAAGGGTTTAACCTATTGTGCCACTGGGGCCTCCAAATTCAGTAATTCAGAGATTTGCACTGAATCTACATCACCTTTTTCTACAAATAGGGCGGAGGAAATAATCCACACAACTGGACATTGCTTGAGAAAACCAAACTACTTACGCTACCAAACCTGTTTCTATGTGTGAAACAGCTGGATTTGCAGAGCACATTTCCCCATTTCTATTTCCGAAGCCTCAATACAGAATGATTATTTTTTGATGTTGCTAAATGTCTTAAGGCTTCTGAGGCAAACACACACATGAGATTTTCAGATTCTGTACTCTCAGCTCTCTTAGAGCGATAAAAAAAATGCTAGCTAGAGTTTTTGCAGGTGCATCATTATTGTTATTGTCATCATCATCAGCATCATCTATTTATATAACACCATTGCTGTACATAGCACTTTACAAGTGAAAGAACAAAGTGCCTCCAGGCTTACAATCTAATTGTAGACATGACACAAAAAGAAGAAGCAAATACTGCCTCTTCTACTCTCCTTCCAAGGCCAAAGCAGTTGCAGTCGGGATGGATCTAGATGTTGTGGAGCTGTGCCTGCCTCTTCTTCTCTCCCTCTGAATTACTGAAGTAAGATAGGGTATGGAGCACACAGGCTGTATGTTCATTCTTAGTGGGTTCAAGTAACTTCTTACAGTCAGGAGCTTCCATGAAGTAGCTTCTGCATGTAGATCTTGATCTATTGTCACCTTGAATCCTGGGCGTATCCAACAGTTGGCTGCCATTTCTACTTCACCTAGATAGGTTGATACAAGTTGTGCCTGTAAAAGAGTTACATTATCATTGACACTGGCTACATCTCATACTACTGTTATTTCTAAAATCTGTATGTATTGTCCTTTTTCTACAGTGGCCCAGCCCCATTCAGCTGTACTCTCCACCATTTATACTGGCTCCCATCAAGGACAAACAGACAGAGTTGGGGGAGACCTTTGGAGAAGCCAGCCAGAAATGCAACGTGCTTTTTGTTGGGTATTGTTTGTCTCACGATCAACGCTGGCTCCTGGCTTCCTGCACCGACACCCATGGCGAGTTGCTGGATACCTGTGTGATCAACATTTATCTGCCAAACAGGTAGGGTAGAACGCTAGCCCACTGACAAACAAAACGCTAGCCCACTGACAAACAAAAAGTTTCAGGTCCAGTCCTTGACATTTTCATTTAAAGTGATCAAGTATTTTAGATCACTGCCAGTTGGAGAAGAAAGTTCAAGATGCAATGGACCACTGGTCTCAGACTCAGTTTAAGGCCTCTTCATATATTCCAATTTTCATTTGCACATGTGACAAGAAATAATCCATGCAAATGAGTGAAATCACTTTAAATTGCTATTTTTAAAAGATGTAAGATGATGCTGAAGGGGACTTTTCTTCTCTAGGAGAAATTAGAAGACCAGGTCTGGTGAATCAAGGATCCAACTTTATTGAGGGAAAGAAATGCATTTCAGCCTCCCCCCTTGACAGACCAGAGACTGAAGAGAATGGGAGCCCTGAGCTCATACATTGTAATATAGCTTGCCAAAGTTGCCAACTCACCACTGCAAAGCCTATTTGATGGGAAAAGTCAACAAAGCTAGACATGCAATAGAAGTTTTGATTTCAAAGCATCAGTTGGTCATGTACAGCCTCCTGTAATTTATTTATTATTATTTACCGTAAGATAAACAATAATATCGGTTCTTGCTATATAACTCATTCATCAGTCTCTTGGTATCATAGTATACCAAAATATACCATGTAACTTTCACAGTGTCAACTTATTCTTTAGGAGGAAGACCAAGACAGTACAGAAGCATTTTTGTTAGCTTAGCCCATGTGAAGCCATGCCTGTTTCTCCTTCATTCCCCTCTTTTTCAGTTCAAAGAACTGAAATCTAATCCATTTTATGATCCAGGGATCCCATTCTTTTCAGATTCTGGTCTGTCAGGGTGGGCAATTCCCCTTCAATGCTTTATAAATACCCTACATACTCAGAAATTTTAGTAAAGAAAATCAGTCCATAAAACCTGGGTCAACTTATCAGTGGGTCATTAGTTGTTGTTTTTTAAATTTGGGAGTTCCCTGCAGGGCATGGAGGTCCCTAATGGGGTCCATGGCCTGCATTTTCCAAACCCATGTATTCAATTGGAAAGCTTTGGGGGTTTCCTGAAGGGACTCATGGTGGCCAATGAAAGGTGTAGCTCATAGGCTGCATCTTCCTCAGCCACATTCTACAGTGGATAATCAAGTATGTGATGCTATTTTATGTGCTATATTTAATAATATTTAATGTTTTATCAGGGGAGGGTCAATTTTGATGTTTTATACTGGTTTTTATTGATGGCATTGAATTGTTGCTAACACTGTGAACTGCCCTGAGTTCCCGTCGGGGTTGAGAAGGGTGGTATACAAATACCGCAAATAAATAAATAAACAAATAAATAGTCTATTTAATCAGATGCCATTGAAGAACAGTGGAATACCCCAGTGTAAGAATATTTTTGCTGTCTTTTTTTCTGCTATAGATCAAAGAGAAGCAAAGTTTCGCCCCGTAAAATTGGCTTGCAGAAGCTGTGGGAATGGTGCACAGGGATCATCCAAATGTCATCACTACCTTGGAGAGTTGTGATTGGCCGACTTGGACGCCTTGGTCATGGGGAGCTGAAAGGTAATATAGGCCATGAGCATTTATTTGCACTTTAAGCAACAGCATTACTATTATTACTACTACTACTAGTAGTAGTACTACTACTAAGACTGGGTGGCCATCTGTTGGGGGTACTTCGATGAATGGAAATATGCACCTTATATGTTTTTAATTTGTATACTGTTTGGTGCATTTTATTGATTAACTGTTAATCATTTTAAATGTGGGATATGTTTTTACTACTTACGGTTGGTTTTTACCGGCATTGAATTCTTGCCGGAGCTGTAAGCTGCCTTGAGTTCCCTCAAGTGAGAAAGGCGGCATAAACATGAAGTGAATAAATAAATAAATTATGCTTTTCATGCATGGCAGAAGGGAGTTGAATTGGATGCCCCTTGGGGTTGCTCCTATTATTGTTGTTGTTGTTGTTACAAAGACTGGGTGGCCGTCTTTTGGGGGGTGCTTTGATTGTGCTTTTCATGCATGGCAGAAGGGAGTTAAACTGGATGCCCCCTGGGGTTGCTCCTATTATTATTATTGTTGTTGTTGTTGTTGTTGTTGTTGTTGTTATTATTATTATTACAAAGGCTGGGTGGCCATCTGTTGGAGGTGCTTTGATTGTGCTTTTCCTGCATGGCAGAAGGGGGTTGGATTGGATGGCTTCTGGGGTTGCTCTTATTACTGATACACACACACACACACACATACATTATATATAATATAATGTATAAAGGTAAGGGTTTCCCCTTGACATTAAGTCTAGTCGTGTTCGACTCTGGGGGTTGATGCTCATCTCAATTTCTAAGCCAAAGAGCCAGCATTGTCCGTAGACACCTCCAAAGTCATGTGGCCAGCATGACTGCATGGAGTGCCGTTACCTTCCCGCAAAAGCGGTATCTATCGATCTACTCACATTTCCATGTTTTCGAACTGCTAGGTTGGCAGAAGCTGGGGCTAAAGTGGGAGCTCACCCTGCTCCCTGGATTCGAACCGCCAACTTTTTGGTCAGCAAGTTCAGCAGCTCAGTGGTTTAACCTGCTGCAGCACCGGGGGCTCAAAATATAATGTGTAATGTAATATATAAACATTTCTTGGGACTCCACGAGAAACATTTCCTTCAATAAGGGCTCAGCGGCTGAAAAAGTCTGAGAACCCCTGCTGTATATGCAGCAGGACTGGAAACTTGAGCAGGATGGATAGGGAAACGTGTGGGAAACTGCAGAGGTATGGCTCATACTTCCAGGGTGGGGTCCCTCGCCAAGGGAAAGATTGAAAAGTTCTGAAGTTTATCTTTTGAATGACAAAATGATCTCCAAGGGACCAGCTGCATTTTCCTCTTGTGCTTTCTTTTTTCAGATTGGAGCATCCTGCTTGGCGAGAGTTCACTGCAGACAATCAGCAAGCAGTTGAAGGAGGTGTGTCGAATGTGTGGCATCTCCTCGACCGACTCTCCTTCAATTCTCAGTGCCTGTTTGGTGGCTATGGAACCCCAGGGGTCATTTGTTGTGATGCCAGGTAATGTAGGCACAACTGTCTGCCAGTAATGTTACGTGCACTAATATCCCCACCTCTTTGCTATGTCTTTGTTGTTTTGTGTTCCAAACAACACTTACTTTGCTTCTTGGTGTATCTATGGCATATGCTGAAGGACTCATATTGTATGATAAACACTGTGAGATGGTACAGTCTTGAGTTGGGAAGAAGGAAGCCCCCCCCCCCCCCTTCATTACTTTGTGGTTCATTTGGCCTGCATCAATAGGAGCATAGTGTCTAGATCTAGGGAAGTAATGCTACCCCTCTATTCTGCTTTGGTTAGACCACACCTGGAATATTGTGTCCTAATTCTGGGCACCACAATTCAAGAGAGATATTGACAAGCTGGAATGTGTCCAGAGGAGAGCGACTAAAATGATCAAGGGTCTGGAGAACACGCCCTATGAGGAGCGGCTTAAGGAGCTGGGCATGTTTAGCCTGAAGAAGAGAAGGCTGAGAGGAGACATGATAGCCATGTATAAATATGTGAGGAAGTCACAGAGATGAGGGAGCAAGCTTGTTTTCTGCTTCCCTGGAGACTAGGACGCGGAACAATTGCTTCAAACTACAAGAAAGGAGATTCCATCTGAACATGAGGAAGAACTTCCTGACTGTGAGACCTGTTCAGCAGTGGAACTCTCTGCCCCGGAGTGTGGTGGAGGTTCCTTCTTTGGAAGGCTTTTAAACAGAGGCTGGATGGCCATCTGTCAGGGATGCTTTGAATGCAATATTCCTGCTTCTTGGCAGGGGGTTGGATTGGATGGACCATGAGGTCTCTTCCAACTCTATGATTCTATGATTATTTGCAGTCTGAGGGCTTGTCTAACTGGACTTTACCCTGGCTCCAACCAGATGTCCCTTCTGGGCATAGTCACAATGTCGGAGACTTCTGGTTGGTAATGCAAGGTAAAACTGGTTAACTTGGTTAGGGTTAAGACTTCAAGCAGTTGGGGAATGGTCTAGAGTAGACAGTTTTCAAAGACCAAAACATAGACAGGCAAACTAGCAGCTGGTTACCAGCAAGGCTGCATTTTAAAAGTCCAAGTCATAGTTTCAGACCTCTGGGAGAATATTAAGAGCCCATTCCCATTTGTGCCTAGTACTAATATTGCTTGTCCTCAGTTCATGTCTTGACTCACTCTGTTTTTGATGATGCCTTAATCAGTCTGACTCATGGTGAGTTTCCTTTGTGTCACTTCAAAGATGCTGTTACCATGGGATCTGTCTTTGGCCGCAGCACTGCTCTCAATTTGCAGTCATCCCAGCTGAATACGCCGCAGGATGCCTCTTGCACACACATCTTAGTCTTTCCCACCTCCGCAACCATCCAGGTTGCTCCAGCCAATTATCCTAATGAGGACGGGTTCAGCCCCAATAATGGTAAGTCAGTTACTAAGCCAAAGGTAAGGGTGAGTTTGAAAAAATTACTTTTTGGATTACAACGCCCATTGTCTGGGGAATTCTGGGGATTTTAGTCCTAAAGGTCACTTTTCTAAATTTGATTCTGTCCTGTCTTGTCCTATAATATGAGGTCAAAATGTTTCTGCATTATGTCACTGGTAAGTCCTTTGTATTTAGGGACAGGAGAACTATGACATTGAAAATGGAAACTTCCTTTGTCATTGACTGTGAGGTGTCCTCTGGAGATTGGATCACCCTTTTCTGTTCAGTCGATTCTTTTGCTGTATGTTCTTCTCGTTTAGGATGCAAAACGAACCAAGAGTGGACTGTATTCTTCAATTGAGCCTGCTTCTTCGTTTGTTGCTGATTGTCACATGACCCCAAACGCCATGTTTCTTATCCACAGCTTTTGTTCTCTGCTCGAGATATGGTGTATTTTGGTTTCCTGCTATTCCCTCCATGAATCAGCACCTTCTCCTCTGCCGACATCTATGTTCCATATCTCGTTCATTATTTTTTTCCCTTATATTTCTAATTTTTTACTAAATTTCCCTGTTTTTTCTATAATAGCACTGAAATGGTAAAAGTCTTTACTACTTCAATACTATAATACTAAGATTTTTTTTATCATGTCAGAAGCGACTTGAGATACTGCAAGTTGCTTCTGGTGTGAGAGAATTGACCGTCAGCAGAGACGTTACCCAGGGGACGCCCTGATGTGTTACCATCCTGTTGGAGGCTTCTGTCATGTCCCTGCATTGGAAGCTGGAGCTGACAGATGGGAGCTCACCCCACCTTGCGGATTCGAACCTCCGACCCTCAGTCAGCAGTTCAGCTGGCACAAGGGTTTAACCCATTGCGCCACCGCAGCTCCTAATACTAAGATCGATGATGAGAAGAAACATAATGATTGGAAATGTAATAAGGGAATAAAGCTTAGTGGAAAACCACTAAAAGACCCCTGGCACAAGAAAGGAAGAACCCAGTGTTTCTCTACTAGATACAATAGAACCAGAAAATGTGCAGCAGATACAGGCCACAGAGTTATTGTTGAGTTAAGACCATTTTCTCAAACAGAGGATGGATAAGGTTCTTTATAACTCTTCATCTCCAAAGCGGCTATGAAAAAGTGGATCCTTGTTGGATTGCAACAACAGCTTCAAAATTTAATTAGCTTACTCCACAAAAATCTTCTTTTGTTAGGGATTTTCTAAACTACTCTGGATCAAGGAGCTTGAAGAATGAGAGTTATTTTACTAGGAACTGAGTTGAAGTTTGAAGGGGACCTTATTGAATTAAGGAATCTGATTTTGATCTGCTGCTGGAATTTAAATGGCCTCACAAGCAACACATACATATAGGTTGATACCCTTTTACAGCCTGTGACTCCCTTCTGAACACAGCAGTTCCAAATATTTAACTGGCATTAACTTGCCCTTTAGGGTTTTGCATGCTAATTGGAGTAATAGTCCCAAAAGGGTGTTAGATTTAATTTTCTCAACTCTTGCTCCTTGATTAATAATTAAAACACCTCTCTTGCTCTGTTTGGAAGAGGAGGAACTGCACTGATTCTTGACTGCACTGATTCTTTTTTGGTTGTTGTATATCCATCATTTTTGATTCCCCACTTCATATGCTTTGGAAAAGGAAGAACTGTTTACCAAATATTAAGACATTCTTTTTCCAATTCAACTCCAAATTGGAAAATATTATGTTAGTGAGCAAGAGTTTACTGCTGCCAACATCCGTTCCGGCAGTGACACGGAATGGAAACAAATATGTGAATTTATGCAAATAATGCATAAAATCATCTGAAGCAACACAGGAAGATTGCCTGAAAAGCCGAATACACAGCTACATGATGTTCTTAATGCACTTCATTTGAAGGCCTGCATAATTCTAGTCCAAAAAGAAATGGGGATTTTGAGAAGAGAGCTGCGAAAAGGCTGATTTTTTAAAGTTGGTTTTTAGGAAGAGAAGACAATATAAAAGAGTAAGGAGTTTTTGCTCAGCCCTGGTTTAATATTTGTTTTTACACCTAAAATGCACCTGATAGGTTAGGGACCCAAGTACAGTAGAGTCTCGCTTATCCAACAGAAAATTGGATAAGCGAAAATGTTGGATAATAAGGAGGGATTAAGGAAAAGCCTATTAAATGTCAAATGATTTTACAATTTTTTTTTGGTCGTGTCAGGAGAGACTTGAGAAATTGCAAGTCGCTTCTGGTGTGAGAGAATTGGCCGTCTACAAGGACGTTGCCCAGGGGACGCCTGGATGTTTTTGATGTTTTTACCATACCTGTGGGAGGCTTCTCTCATGTCTCTGCATGGGGAGCTGGAGCTGATAGAGGGAGCTCATCCACACTCTCCCTGGATTCGAACTTGCAACCTGTCGGTCTTCAGTCTTGCCGGCACAGGGTTTTAACCCACTGTGTCACCGGGGGCTCCACAAATTAATTTTACAAATAAAGCACCAAAACAACATGTTTTACAGCAACTCGAGAGAAAAAGCAGTTCAATAAACGGTAATGTTATGTAGTAATTACTGTATTTACAAATTTAACAGCTGTGGATCCGGGCGGGATGCAGACTTCGCTGGATAATACAGAACATTGGATGAGCGAAGGTTGGATAAGCGAGACTCTACTATAATGGCTTTTGTAGTGCTGTTTGATAAGGCCACAAGTCCTCCCCCATTGATATGCATCGTAAAATAAAAAAAAATTGCTATCACATTTTAAAAAAATACACAGAACCATAATATAGAATCATAGAATTGTGGAGATGGAAGAAACCACGAGGGCCATCCAAGTCCAATTCCCTGCTGTGTATCTCCATGAAATAGTATCCCAGGCAAAGTTGTGTCTTGTTTGTTGTGACTTGAGATTGCCTTTCATCTAACACTTAAGTTCAAACAAAAAGTAGGGGAAATTGTGAGGTGGGACAGAATGTATTTTGCTGCTTAAACACAGATTCATTACACATGCAAATTAACAAGAAAGGCAAAGAAAAGATTGAGCCAGACTATTAAGACAAAGGTAAATTAAAAAGAGATTCAGAGAGACCAATTCAGGTGACCAACAGCAACCTTCTATTCCTCATCAAAGCTCTTTCATACTTAGCTAACACATGAAGAGATGCTGGAAGAGGTAGACAGTCCATTCAACCTCACATAATTCTTCCCAGGAAGTAGTGTGCTTGGAGAATGCTGATGATTTTGTTGCCCCAGACTCCACAATAGAGCTTGATTGTTCGTCAGGTCTAACAGCTCTCCTCCTACTCATGTTACCTTGGTGTTTCTTTATGTGGCCATACTGAAGAGGCACTGTCTGGCTTTTTCCAACTTCTTTTGAATGTCTGGATCAATCCAAAGTGTTTTGGATTGTGCTTTTTCCACTCTAGAACTGAAACGAGGCAATCAAATCCAGACCACATACAAATCAGTTCCAATCAGCCCAATTGTTATTCGGGCAAATTGATTGCGTGGTCCTAGCTGAAAGTCTGTCAAGCCAATTTCGTCCATTTCCAGACAGTTTGATTTAAAAACTGGAAACAACTGAGAGATCAGATGAGCAACTGAGGGAACAGATGAGCAATCGTGATCCCAATGAATTTAATCAGACTGAGGCTTTACATGCAGACGTTATAGTTTCATAAGCACCAACTCTCAAATATTAGGCTGTGCAACAGATTAAGCCAAATCTTGAGTCACATCAGTTGCATTTGAAAGAATTTGTCTAAGGATTAGATTGTTTCAGATCAATTCATTATCAAAATGGAAGGGTCTAAAGCAATTTGGGCAAATCTTGAGATTTAGGAGATAAAAATGAGTGGAAACAAAGCAGAGTGTGCCTGCATCACAACCATATAAGGAAAATGCCAAGGTAGAGAGGAACTGGGTTTTGTAGAGGAGAGCTCGGTTTTTCCTTGTTGATGGATCTAGAGTTCAAAAAATATCACCACTTTCCTGCAGCTGCAGGAAGGCATTGTGTTTGGTCACTGACATCAATATCTCTTGCATCTCTTTTTTCATTTACCACTCTCTTAGGGCCCTTTCGCACAGCCCTATATCCCAGAATATCAAGGCAGAAAATCCCACAATATTTGCTTTGAACTGAGTCATCTGAGCCCACACCCAGATAATGTGGGATTTTCTGCCTTGATATTCTGGGATACAGGGCTGTGTGGAAGGACTCTCAGTAGCGCATTGTTGAAAGAGCTGTGATGAGGCTTTGGTTGTTACCTGAGCTTGGTCTCTCTCTGAGTTTTGTCTTTTAATTTCCCAACCAAATTAATGGAGGTGTGTGAAGAAACACAGAAAAACTAGATGTCTTGGTCTTCTGTTGCCTGCCAAGAAGAATACCAGCAGTCCTGATTTCTGCATATTGATTTGAATCTGTGGTCCAGATTAGGTCCAACTGGATCTGATTTTTTTTTTAAAAAAGTAAACCCCATTCAGGAATGGCTCCTTCTTTGTTGGCAGAGAATGGCACATTACGGTCTTAAATTTATTGGTGTCTGTAGAGAAGAAGAAATCCATAGCCACATTTGCAGTGGCTCTCTTTCTATCTGGTCTTAGAGCTGTATCGGGAAATGAACCAATAGGAGGAGTAAGGGATCCGGTTTTTAACCAACATGGAAGTCATGTGATCTTTTGCTTTGTCTGTTAAGGTTGGCCCCTTCATAGTAAGTCTAAGCCCCCTTCAACACAGCTGAATAAAATCCACACTATCTGATTTGAACTGGGTTATATGGCAGTATAGACTAAGATAATCCAGTTCAAATCAGATAATGTTGATTTTCTGCTTTGATAACCTAGTGAACCATTTCCAAGATAATCCGGATCACAAAAGATAACATTACTGATCTTTTCTTTTGCTCTTCCCTCTCTTTTGAGATGACATGTTTGACCTTCCATTCCCGGATGATATGGATAATGACATTGGGATTCTAATGACCGGGAATCTTCATTCATCTCCAACTTCATCTCCTGTCCCTTCCCCTTGCTCTCCTGGTATTGGAGTAGGCCCATCTTTCCAGCATAGTCGGGTAAGTGGCCTTTGCTTCAATTTAGGCAATCCTTAATGTTTTGGAACAGAAATTCTCCAGGTGCTGAAATGTTTTGCAGGTCTTGTTTCCTTAGTCTCCAGCTCAACAGTGTTCTGTAAAGTGGCTTTTAAGAAGCCAGTTTCAGCATCAAAGCTTATTGAACGTGTTAATTAATTTTGTTAAATCCAGAAAGGAAAGAGGTTGGCATTTTTTTTCTTCAGTTAAAAGGTTTAGCATAATGTTGGAAGCGTTTAGCAGAGCTTCTAACTTGAAATGTTTGTGTTAGGTTACATTTCACGGGGCTGTTATGTATGCCCATCATCCTTCCCTTGGCAAACTCACAGAACCAAATAGCAGCAGCTTGATGTTTAGAGTCCTCAAAAAAGAAAAAGGAAAATATTGTTACTTCATTTGCTCTTGAAAGATAAAAGGGACGATAAACTTGATGCAGAACTTTTGATACTACGTTTCTGATTAATAATAATAATAAATAATAAAATTTTATTTATACCCCGCCACCATCTCCCCAAAGGGGACTCGGGGCAGCTAACATGAGGCCAAGCCCAACAATTACAACAAATCAAGATCAAATACATATAGCAAATAATAACATCAAATAAAAAGTAAACAAAACAAGTTAATACAAAGTCAAACACAGGAAATGAAAATAAAATAATAGAAATGTGCACAGTAGGCGGGGCCAAATTACAAGGGCTAGAATTATAAAATATTATAGAATATTAGCATACATCTGCTTCATTTTTCTCACTCAGAATAAAATTAATTTCTAGGTCTCGAAGCAGAGCAGATAATCCCCTTTTCCAAGGTTCCCAGTACTTCCTTAAATGTGTCTAATATATAGATTTCCTTTTGATTTTCAAATACAAACCTCCTACAGTCCTGCTTGACACTGTGACAGTGGATGGAGGAAACAGACACTGTAAGTTGTCATGATAAAAAATCTTCTTGGAGGATGCAGGCAATCTCTAGGGACCCTAAATATCTTCCTTCTTCCATTGAGCACCCTTTGTTTCTTAAATGTATAGGACTGTGAATCTGCCATCCCTGAATATTGCAGACTTCCCATTCTAAACTCAGTGCTTGAAGTTATCAACCGTGTAGAGTGTTTGTTGTCTCTACCAAATCACAGCCATTTTGAAAAATTATTTGCAACACTGCATGGCAATTCAGCTACAAATGAGATGGGTAGTCAGGGAGTTTGGTAACCCAAGGAGGCCTCCACTGTGTGAATGCCTTTTGGATCAACTCGTTTAACCATTAACACGAAGCTGGTAATTGAGATGTAATTTTTGTTCTTACAAAAGCAGCAGCGTGTGATCGTTTTCCTTGGGTCAAGGAAGGGCACCCCTTCATCCATGGACCTTGTAATTGATTGCTGCAGTTTGCAAATGAGTCTTGCTTCCTTGGCCTGCCATTGAGTTTTCAACCAGCCAAAGCCATAGTGCTTTGTGAATAAAGACATTATTTAAGCAAGGTACTTTAGTGGGCCTTTTAGATTTGGTGGTGCTGAACTGCTACAGTCCTTCCTTATATCTCAGGAACTTGCACAAGTTGCTTTCTAAGCTGCTTTGTGAAGTCAATAAATTGCACAAAATTCACTTGGGGATTTTTAGAAATAAAGACTTCTGTTATATTACCAGCAGAACCAATACTACTCCTACTAATATATTTATTGCCCGCCTCTCCTATAAGTGATCTACACACTATGATTATTGTATTATGTTCTTTTCTCTTGATTTTTATATGGGTATTGGCAACATAATGATCAATATAAGTATTTCTAATCATTATAGGAAAGGTAAAGCTGGCTAATCTGGAACATCAGTAGTTTAGGCTGTCGTTGGTCTTTCTCTCAAGAAAAGTAATCATTTCCTGTGAAGAAGCTGTGTTCAGTCTGTTGCAGAAAAGC